TGTTTAGGTCTGTAAGCCACTCTGAGGCCCTTGTTGGGATACAAATAAAGATTATTATTATTATGATTATTATTATGATTATTATTATGATTATTATTATTATATCTTTTAAAATAGTAACTTTTCATTTCATCACCTCCATTTCAAAATACTGCTCATCCATATAAGCCTTCCAAACACTACTCAGACATTTTAGAGTGGATTTTTTTTTCTTCATTCCTCGATCAAGTGAATTTTTACTCAGTTTAGTTGTGACAGGTAAATTAAGGGGTGAAAATCACCTCCATCCTTTCAGTAGGAAAATCAAACCAAGAACTATTTCATTCTCATTGCCATGCATATGCATGATTTATCTTCAAGTCAGTATCAAATGTGGTTTTCTGTGGCCAAATATATACCGTACACTTTATAGATAGATAGATAGATAGATAGATGGATGGATGGATGGATGGATGGATGGATGGATGGATGGATGGATGGATGGATAGATAGATGATAGATAGATAGATAGATAGATAGATATATATATATATAGAGAGAGAGAGAGAAACAGGTTGTGTATGAATGCATGTGCCATTTGTTGGTGATGCAAGCTAGGTTCTTTCTGAGAAACTGTTGTTAAAACATAGACATTTACAGAAGCAGTCCTTTAAATCGGGGCTTCTTAAAACTTTTTTCTGGTCAGGACCCCCTTCCACTCAAGAAAGTTTTATGTGACTCCAGGTATACAAAATATGTATAAAATCAAACATTTGGCCTTTGCACAGCTTGCTAAATAGGTTGATTTTTCTTTTTGTACGGCACACCTGCAACATTTTCTGGAGAGTCCGTGATAAATACTGTATGTTGCTGCTAACAGATTTGTGTACATGAATGGTATTCAGAAATCTTTTACTGCTGACAAATTTTGTGGCCCCAACATTGAGCTAAGGGGACTCCATTTGGAGTCAGGACTCATGGCTTAATAAGCAATGCTTTAAATAAACTTTAGGTTTTCTGGCACCTAGTGGTTGTACTATTGAAACTGGGAACCTTTTCAGACCACGATGACCACTCTGTATGCAGCATGAAGACTTCACTCCTCAGTGTGGAAAAAGTGACCAACTATATATGGCAAACGATACATGGCACAAGCTTTCCTTATAATTAACAAGCTATTTACTTTATTTATATCCTATTTTATCCAGTGAGCTCAAAGCAACATTTAATTTTCTCAAGCCTAATGGCATAGATCACACAGTGTGTCTCAAGGTCACAGTGAATTTCATATCCCACTGGATACCAGAACTTTCATCACTTAACTCCCAGTCCAGCCTTAACTTCTATTCCCAACTGGTCTGAAAACACCTAACTTGTTAGAGAAAGGGTAGAGTAGCTGCAGGCCTTCAGGTATTGCTAGATTAGCCAGACCATTATTCGTTACTGCTGCCATGCTAGCTGGAGCTGAAAGAAGTGGAAATCCAACATTATATGGTAGTCCTGTTTCTGTCTATTTATGAACAGTCATGAACCCAGGATAACCCAAAGCAACCTGCTACATATATCAATCGTATTCTTCTTTTTTATTTGCAGGAGCAAGCTATAGGCCTGAGTGTGATGTTTGCAACTTTCTTGATCCCGTCGGGCTGGGTTTTGAGCCATCTGGAGGACTACAAGAACCATTCCAGAGAGTGAAGGGCAAGCAAAAGGCTTCTGCTATGAATATAATTACAAAAAAGGCAGTACCAAAAAGAAAATTGTATCCTGTTTCACATAAAGCTGTCTCTGGAGGTTTTCATGATTAAAACATAATTTTAAAATCACAGCCGCCAAATATATTTTCTTTGAAAAGAGAAAAAAAGTACACTGCTAATGCTTCGAAGATATACTAGATCAGTTAGTGCTCTAGTTTAAAAGAATGATATAAGGAAAAGCCAATTTAACCCATTCAGTTTTCTATACATATTCTTAATAAAATCTACTTCATTGTGGTTTCCATAATCTTGTATTTGCAGTTTCAAAACCCTGACAGAGGGAAAGGAATGCATTCATGACTTGTGTGACCAGTGAATGCTAAGGAAATTGCCTCAACTGCTGCAGAACCCATGTAATCTTTCTTCCACCTTCCCCATGTAGGCACAAGCTCTATGTCTGGAGTTCGTATTACACACTTTAGCATGAAAGAAGCTCATGTTTTGCTAGAGAAAGAACAGGATATTCAACTCACTCTTCTATACACAAAGAAATGTATATTCTGTGCTAAAAGGTAATATTGAAGAAGCTGGAAATATATATTCAGTTGGCTTACCATGTAGTCCAGATCCGGATCTAAGAATGAGACAGTTTCCATAATCTTTGGCACGTCACTCTCAACCTGTATTTCCCAGATGCAATTGGAAGGTGGGAGTGGATGTGTGACAATATGATTTATTTAACTCTTTTGTCACCACATCGAAGACCTAGAAAATCCATCTTAAAAAAAGATGGAGCAATATTCTGAAAATGCTAAATTCTATATGTACGTAACCTGTGAAATGGGCATCTATATCCCAGATTTGTAAAAAACGTAATATTACCTTGATAATAACTGGTACCGTTAGCTACTAGGCCTGTCCGGTTTCGTTCGTTAATTCGTTATTAATTCGTTATTTTTGGCATTTTTGAAGCGATATCAAAACAGTTTTCCAAACCCGGAAGGGTTTTAAAATATCGAACCGGCAGCCCCCATAGATTTAACGAGCTTCCGCTCGTTTCGTTAATGGGGTGGAGGCTGCTGGAGTGCTGGTGCCTGGGAGCCAATCAGGCGCTCCCAAGCAGTGCACTGTGGGTCCGTGGCTGTTTGTTTTTGATTGGCCGGCGAGCCCTTTCAAAGCGGCTCCGCGCGGCCGTAGCTCATTGCTGCAGAGGGCGAGGGAGTTTGCATTGGTTTGGCTTGGCTAATGGCTAGCAACTGGATTGGATTCATTCCTTGCTGCTGTGAGTGCTGCTTGCTTCATTTGCTGTCTCCCGCCTGTGTTTGGTCCACATTTGGGCCATTTTTTGGTTAATTTTCCATTTTAAAATATTTTTTAATATTATTTTAATATTATTTTTTAATATTATTTTAATATTATTTTTAAAAAATATTCTAAAAAAGAAAAGACTCTTCTGTTGGTGTGTGCTCTCATTTGCTGTCTCCTGCCTGTGTTTGGTCCACATTTGGGCCATTTTTTGGTTAATTTTCCATTTTAAAATATTTTTTAATATTATTTTAATATTATTCTTAAAAAATACAAAAAATATTCTAAAAATTTGTTAATATTTACAAAATTTCGTAAATAACAAAACTTTTTTTGGAAAGTTTTGTAAATATTTTAAATATCGAAACAAAAAAACACCCCAATTACAAATCGATTTTAGAAACAAATTTTTTCTTGATCAAACAGGCCTATTAGCTACCTATAACTGAAAAGAACCAAGGAAAAAAGAAAGTATATAACAGAGGAACTAGTGAGGGAGCAAGCTCTCAGAATAATTTAATGAAAGTGAAAATAAGGCACAGCACTAGTTCCTCTCTAGGAAGAGACATTAGTGGTGAAATTGAAACACCAGCCTCTTGTTTTAGACCAGCCAATCCATGACATTTCAAGTGAAGGAAAAGCACTCAGCTATTTGGAATATTATTATAAAGGGAGCTCCTGGTACAAATTAAGCCGGATGTCTCTTCTAGCATGTTTTGAAACTCCAAAACCACCAGAAGCAACCCAGTGATGTTACACTGATAGAACAGACTGCAGATAAGTAAACAGTCCCCTAGATGTCACAACTTGGCACTCTGTTCAGAATGCATTCAGTGTTCCCAAATGGACCAAGTTCGTAGAATCACAGAGTTGGAAGAGACGACAAGAGCCATCCAGTTCAACTCCATTCTGCCATGCAGGAACACCCAATCAAAGCACTCCTGACAAATGGCAATCCAGCTTCTTCTTAAAACCTCCGGAGAAGGAGACTCCACCATCCTCCAAGGCAACACATTCCATTGTAACAGCTCTGGCTGTAGAAAGTTCTTATTTATTTATTATTTATTTACTGTATTTGTATACCGCCCTTCTCAGCCCTCAGGCGACTTCTTCCCATTATCCAGGTGGAATCTCTGTCTTCAAACAGAAGTTTTTCACTGAACATCAAGGCAGCAAAAAATTAACCTAGTGCTCACCAAGTAAAGAGGCCTCCAGGTTAGTCTGTGCCATCCAAAACTGTAGGTGAGAAGTTCTTTACAAATTCACTGCACATGAAAATCCAGCCTCCAGAAAAATGGCTACACATGTTTAACACTGCTGAGAAACATTTAGTTCTTACTAAGGTTACAGACCTATATGTCATCAACTGACAATAGCCTCAAAGTAATTGGCTAATGGTATTTCTCCATACTATGTACTGAACTATACAGCTTATTTGCTTGAATAATGGGCAACATTGCTTAGTTAACCTGTTTTCCTTCTTGGCAAATGAGCAATGTCAGAGATGCTGTATACTAAAGTGCTGATTTTATAAGGGACAATCCACTTAGCACCTTTATAATTCTTAATGTTTGAAGATGTAATCTACATCATGACCATCACAATTCATATGAACCCAATTCAAAAAGAATATATCTGGTGCCTTCCCTTTTGGGAATGTTTATATCACACTAAGAATTCTTTTAAGCACATTATGCATAATTCTACCCCACGCCCACTGGAGGAACATGTGATCTGAAAACAAGTGCTTATTTTACTAATTGCTGTAGTCAGAAGTGTGATCTACAAAGTATACCCACACCTTTTAAAATATATCCTAACTTACTAAAAACCCACAAATTTTTATCAGAAAATGAATTGTTTTAAATGTATGCATTTGCAAAAGAGTCCTTATTCCCATTCCTTTTAAATGCAAAATAGTCCATTATAGCTGGCAGGGGTAGTCCACACTACTTCATCCCTTCCTGAGGTTGGAATATTGCTCAGTTCAGGTCATTGTAAAACCACACCAACAGAACTACACAAGAGGGAAGGCAGAAGTTTATTCCAGCAGTTGCTTTTTTCCTGCATCACACTTCTGGTTAAATGTTCATAAAAGACAAGAGCAAACCCAGGTATAATATAAAAACAAATCCATTAAGTATGACTTTATTCTTGGAAAACTCATTGATGGGATTGAGCAGCTTCTACTGAAAAAAATGGGAGGCTAGGGGAAAGAGGTGTGTCTTCTCAGCTATGCTGCCTTTGGGCTGGCAGGAGGAAGGTCACGCTCTCCCCCATATCTGTCAATAGTGCCCTTTCCTTCCTGCACAATTAATGCAAAATGGAGGACTTGCTGCCCTCCCACTGCTGAGCCAATGCCCTCCACCCCCTTAGCACATAGTCCCCCCAGCATCCTCCACTGTAACATCACACCAAGACTGATTAATCCATCGTTATGGAGTCCTTAGCTCTCCCCTTTGGTGACAACAGGATGGGAGAGCACTAATAAAATGATAGTGCGTAAGAGGGAATTCCCGACTCCAAGCACCAAAGGGTTATACAGCAAAGGCCACTTAGTCCTCTGTACAAGCATCAGAAAAGTAGTTCTTCCCCCTCCTCCCCTAGCCCCCCTTTTAATAGAATTCAGTACAGAGTCAGTGGTCAGGCACTGCCACTTTCAGCAACAGCACAAGATATTCCCTCAGCCAGTGCAAAGTCCTTTATGTTAGGATATCATGGGCTTGGTGCTCCACCAACATCTCCATGCTCTTGACATCTGTGCACCAGAACTCCAGGCGGTCTTTCATGCCCTTTATCTAGGAAACAAACATAAATGGAAGATCTTGTAAAAGAGACACATGAGACAATTATATACCAGTCTCCTACAAAACTGAGTTTCTCACTTACAGCGGCTCGAAGCTGATGCAGGATTTAATCCACCCACCCAACCAGCATCACTAATGAAAAAAGGGGGAGGGGGGAGGGGAGGGATGAAAGCTAAAGGGGAATATACTTCCTGTCTTGGTAGACTTTGGGTCACCAGATGTTTTGGCCTTCAACTCCCAGAAATCCTAACAGCTGGTAAAACTGACCGTGATTTCTGGGAGTTGTAGGCCAAAACACCCAGGAACCCATAGGTTGAGAGCCACTGGGTTAAAGAAATACCACTCTGTTGTTGATTAATTTTTAGAGGTATTAAAATGCAATTAGTCTCCCAGTGCTTTTCCACTTTTCTCAAGCTGTGGTGTTACTGTGGAATGTGCCAGAAATATGACCTACTGTGCATCCAACTGAATGGATTTTATTATTTTGCAGGCTAAAAAATAAATTCACCTGTTTTAGGATTTCAAGACATTCAGAAAAGCACAATGATGATTAAGTACGTTCAGCCCATTAACAACATTTCCTGCTTTCCTCCAAGAAAGCTGTTTTTTACCTGTTGTAAATCCAGCACCCGTGGTTGGACCCAAGTCATGTGAACCTTTTTATCCACTTCATCAATACTGCCTTTTACCAAACCAACTGAAAGTGCTTTCATCACTAGCAGCTCTACCTGCATAAAGACAAAAACATTTTGTTTGCTTCAACTGAAATTTCAGGTTGTTCCCAGACAAGTCACTGCACAGCACACCCGCTTGATCACTTCTTACAAAAACATGCCCCCAAAAAGGACCACAAAGGTAATTTGTGGAGATGCAATAAAAATTTAATATTAACTATTTAAAATGAAAACCTGGAATAAAACTGAAGCAGGCACATTGCATATAGGTTTGATCAGTGAATTGTTCTGCTCAAATAAGGGTCATGAATATCTACATTCCTTCTGTTTTAGAACCAAATGTGACTCACCTCATTTACAGTGACTTTGGCACTTTTAGCAATCTCCTCAAAAGTGAGTTGCCGGTGGTTTGCTGGTCGGGTGAAGGTCATCTGCAGAGGAATAAAGGATTTAAAACTAGATTGACTAAAAAGAAAGGGCATAACTGTGTAAAAGTTCCTTATTTATTTACAATCATACTTGGTCACTAGTTTCATTTATAACATAAATATTAAAGAAAAGAGCCTGCAATTAAAATGAACACAATGAAAGGATATGGATCTGAAAAAATTTAAAGGAGGCCAAGCTGTTACAAACACTTGCCACTTGTTCTTAAGGATTCTGTATTTTTACCTAATACATTTAATATAGCATGAACTTCAATGGATTACAGCCCATAGCTTATGGGCCAATAAATTTGTTATGGCTGTAAGATTCCACATGTTTATTATTTCCCTCACAACAGATGAACAACAAGGGTATCCTTTTGAAATGATTGAAACTGGGTAAATGAACAGATGCAAAAAATATTTAGATATTTCATTTACACAGATGTGGGGCCTTATAATTTGGCAAACTCTTTAGTTACTTCAACCACAATGGTGTTTCAATTTTAAAAGGGTTTTTTTTGCTTATTTGTTTTAATGTGGTTTTAACTGACTTGTTCTGATAATTGTAGAATTCTATTTTTATATTTATATTTTGTAGGTTTAAATTTGTATTGTTTTTAAGGTTGTGAACCACAATCCAGAGAGAAAAGTGGGGTACTACTGATGATGGCGGCCCCTTCCTTTAGCTTTGCAAGACTGATGGTTCATAACAATAATGGAGAGATACCTGCAGAACAACAATCTAGTATGACCAGTTATTTCCAGGATTCTTAAGTATCATCCAGAATTAATACAACACAAAAGTCACATGCTGCCCTAGGAGACTGTCACATACCTAAAGAAAAATTATGTACAAGAAGACTAAATAAAAATATATAACTAAAAAACATAATACATAGAAAGATTTGGAGTAAAAAGGACTATTTAGCACAAATAAAGACAAATCTCTCTGGTACAGACTCACCTCCATGAGACAAAGCAACTGGATCTTTTGCAGGAGAAGAGCTTCATTTGCAGCCAGGTCTGGCTATAAAACATGATAGTTCAGAACTTAAGTTAATCCAAAAACCTTCGTGGCTATAATGCAGCAAGATGTATGCCCCAAGCCAATCCCACAAACAGTACTTGTCATTTCATTGCTAAGGATAGGAGCCCCCTGGTGCTGATTGAAAGGTCGGCAGTTTGAATCCAGAGAGCGGGGGGAGCTCCCGTCCAGCTTCCTATGCAGTTCCAGCTTCCTATGCAGGGACATGAGAGAAGCCTCCTACAGGATGGTAAAACATCTGGGCGTCCCCTGGGCAACGTACTTACAGACAGCCAATACTCTCACTCCAGAAGCAACTTAGTTTCTCAAGTTGCTCCTGACATTTAAAAAAGCTTTCAATGTTTAAGGGATGTCCAGATGAATCCCTTAAAGCCTTTTCATAAAGCCACAAGTAAAATGATTTACTCTCGCACTCCTCCCAAAGTATTTAGATAATGCCCAATGTAATGGGAAAACCTCAAACTGAAATTAGAAATGGGCTTTCAACTTATGTTTAATTAGAAGACATGTTAATGGTCATGTACAGTACTTTCATATTTTTCTAGTCCCTCACAGGCTGCAGAAATACCTGTTCACCTATTAGTTGCTCACTACTGTCCTTGTACCAGGTACTTACCTGCTGGCCCCATGCTGACTTCAAAGCCTGGAATTTCTCCACATTGCCGCTGTTGAAGGCATAAAGAGTATCAATCAGCCACTGTCTGTCAGTGTCCCTCAAAGACTCCAGCACTGGATGCATAAGCTGAGAATGGAAATGAGGCAAGATGCTGAAATATAGCAGCCAGCTTCCTCTACCACAACAATTTAAACAGCAAAGTTCTGCTACTTACCAGTTCTCCAAAGTTATAGACTCCTTCACCAAGGAGTCCTGCCAGCCCCAATGTAAAAGCTCTCTCCTGTTGGTCTGCCACTGGGAAGAAAAATGTCCTCGGTCAAACAAAAGTTCTACAGTCCAGCCTTTTAGTATCTAAAGATTTCCCAAGCTCACAGTAGTTGATAGATTCCAGTAAGTGGCATCTATATCATTTTGAAATAGAAGTTGGATCACCAATATTTTCCATCAGCACATCTGTATATTATTTAATGTAAATGTAGATTTCCCCTAAAAGGAAAACAAATCTATACATGCACACACAATGCCAAATTCCTATGTACTAAAGGATCTTTAAAAAAAATGAAAACCAACTGAGATGGGTTTCTGCATGAAGGACAAAGAGAACCCTCAAAACTTTGTTAGTTTAGTTGTGGAGAGGGTGCAATTGTAAAAAAAAAAAAAAGGAATCATAAGTTGAAAGGGACCACATGGGCATCAGTCCAACTTCCTACCATGCAGGAAAAGCTCATTTAAAATACCCCTGACAGATGGCCATCTAGCCTCTGTTTAAAAGCCTTCAAAGACGAAGCCTCCACTGTTTTAAAATAAGGAGTATTTCTAAAAATCCTACAGAGGTCTTACTCTAATAACTTTTGCCCTAAGTGGCTCCAGACACAGAATACAGTTTTTCTAGCCAACTAAAACTAGAAAGCTATAATACTTAGACCCCTGCTTCTGAAATACATCGTATAACTGATTCAATAAACAAATTACCATGATCAAGTAATTTTCTTCCCTGTTCTAAGCTTCATGTTCTGAGACTCAGAGGGCAAGCAATACTCTCAAGAATATAATAGAATAACTTTATTGCCATTGTACATTGCACAACAAAATTAACTGCTTTCCCCAGCACACATCACAAAAACCAACACCCATCCCTCCACACTCCAACCACCACCATACAAGCTTCCACTTGATACAAATATCCATGAGTACAATTGCAATATGTTTAAGAACAGAAAAAAGGAACACTACCTGGTAGATCTCTGACATCTATACATCCCAGAAACCTTAGAGCATCCTTATAGTAAGATGCATGATTTCCGATTGTCTGATAGTATTTGCTGGAGAGGTCATAAAAGCGGCTATGAACAGATGTCACACCAGGCAGATTATTCAGCATCTCCTCAACTTCCTCTATGGTTTCCTAATGGAAATAGATGGGATATTGTCTCTTCATCTTGATCTCCAATGTAGCACAAATCCTATGTAAAATCATACTACATATTTTTGACATTAATATCGAAATCTGAAACATATACAGAAAGTCTTTATACACCAGCGTATGACCAGTCTTGTCACATTTCAATCTCTTAATATCACAAGGAAATTGCAGAAAATTCTCAAACAGTAAGGATGACAAGAAACAATAATATTTTAAAATAGGAAGAAAATGCTGCAGCTATAAACAGTGGCATAAATCTGATTCATTCAAAATGCAGGATACATACAGTCTTTTATTTATGCAATATATTGTGTCCCAACTAATCAAAGACAGAGAACTCACAGGTACAGAAACCTTTCAAGTTTGTTTGTGGCAAATTCAATGCTAGCCTTAATTTCTGCAAAGAATGAATGCACTGAAAGCTGTGCCTCTCAGACAAATGTGAAATGGTTACACTCTGTTATGGATTGTAGTGTAGGATTATAGTGATTATATATAGAATATACATAGATGATAATAGCAGAAAGAATCAATTAAATATCAAAAGTTATAATCTCTAGCCACTTAAGGAGAACTTATATCATTAGTTATACCTAATTATTACATCCTTAGTAACATACACTTGTTAGAAAAACTCACATTACAATTTTCAGTACAGATTGAGAATTCCTTATCAAGAAATCTGACACCCAAAATGAAAGATTGTTCAGATTGATTGCTGACATAGTGACATCTTTTGCTTTCTAATGATTCCATGTGCACAAACTTTGTTTCATGAACATAAGTCTTAGAAATATTGTGCATAAAATTACTTTCAGGCTATGTGCAGAAGGTGTATATGAAATATAAATGAATGTTGTGTCCAAATCTGGATCTTATCGCCAAGATATCTCATTATGGATTCATATGCAAATGTAAATATTTCAATATTTTAAAAAATCTGAACTCCAAAACACTTCTGTTCCAAGTATTTTGGACAAGGATACTCAACCTGTGGTGTGATATTTGCAGTGATACACATCAAAACTGAGCACAAGGATTGGACAGACCCTAATCTTTTCCAAAGAATTCAGTAACTAAAAGACCAACATATACCAAAAGGCAGAAACACTAAGAACTAAGCATTGCACAAAATTTGCCAATCATGTGATATTATATATCTAGACAAGACACATTAACACTCAAATATAAATACTGTCTTACCTTTGTGACTTGCAGGTCACCAATATTTAATTTCAGGGCCCCAATGGCTGTTTTACAAAGAATCACAGCTTCATCACTGCTTTTCACCTGGAGCCACAACATAAAAATACATCTAAACATCAGTTAAAAGCTCTGTTAACTTTATTTTCTCCCTAAAAAATTGCTCAAGGCAATTTATCACTAGCAGTATCATTTTCACTGGTGTTCAAAAACTGACTTTATTCCTGTTTTGGTCATTTCTTAGCAAATCTAGTTTGTAGGGTAGTTTGCAGATGTACAAGAATAGTTGCATGTATGGCTGATAGGCCGTTCATACAATCATACTTGCCTTTTCTCGGGTCTTTTCCAGAAAAGTAAGGGCCACATTAGGATCTAAAAAGGTGTAAGTGGAAATCACATTAAGGTTCACAATATTTCATCTTAGTCTTTCACAAAAATTCTTAGTACTGAGAGTCTGTTTTCACTGTGTTTTCCCTGGGGTAAATTTGATGGTGCTCAGGTCATCTTCCTCCCTTCATTCCCAGCAAAAGTGAATCATCAAACATTTACTCAGACCTTTGGTCTAAATGAGCTTCTGGTTTAATGCTCAAAGTCAGAGATTGGACACTCTTATCCAAATATTCACCCAGTAATTGTTTAATTTATTTCTGGGCTGTAAATTTCCTAAGGTCTGGAACACCCCTAGGGACAGACACTCAACATCTCCATTAATATCTTCTCACTATGGAATAATATATTGATTAAAAGCCCATACGTTTAATAGTTGCTATCAATAGAAATCTAAAAGTATGATTTGTTCTCCTCACCCAAGAGACAACTGTTGTCAGATTTTCTTAAAAATCTGTTGACATGTCTGCATTATGAACTATTCCACTTTGGAAAACACACCAAAACAAAAAAGAGAATGGTTTTACCTGTCATCTGCCGCACTACATGAAGAATAATTTCTACAAGGGACAAGGGGTTCACCCTAGAGTAAAAGAAAGAATATGCACAAATGAAGTCATGAACAGTAAATACAAAAATATAGGTTATTTTCATTTTAAATGAATGTTGGAAGTTTTACCTGTGTTCAAATTCACTGATGAAGTTCTCATATAACTATAAATAAAAAATAATCAATTTTAGCATAATATTATATTTGTTGGTCACAACTATCTAAGACAGGTCTTTCCAAACTCTTCATGTTGGTGACACTTAAGTTTGCTATTATTCATTATTTTCACTATAGTAAGTCCAGAAACGTATCCCCCATGGATACTAAGTTTACTTCCTCTTCTCAAATACTGAGGAAACAGATTGTGTTTCTATTTTACTAAAAATTCAAGTTTACTTAACAATTTCAAGGCATCTAAGAAGTGAAAATATTCATAATATAACCCAATATCATTACAACTTACTATAATACTAGGAACTTTACCTTGATGAGTCCATCTCCTTGGGCAAAGCAGGGATCCTGTACAAAATCCAAAACCTGGAGAGTCAGCTGGTGCCAGAGTCTGTAAAATAGAGAGAGGTACTGATGGGAACGGAAAATGCCAATATAACAGTAGCTACTTGTAAAACTGGGTATTCTGGCTATCTGTAGAGGCACAAATTTTGTTATCTGTCGAAGATAAATGTACTTGTGAATTAAAAATCTAATTTGAGTAGGGCTAGAAACAAAGACTAAAAACCAAATTAATTTCTCAGGAGACCATGAAAAAAAAACCCTGATACTTTATCAGGCTGCCAGGTTGAGTACAATTAAATATGGTTTGTCTATTTTTAGTTAAAGGTTTCTGGATCAGAAAATTTTGTATAAAGCTCTGACAGACAGAACTAAGCAACACATCATCCTTTATGTTCTTCAGAATCCACTATTTAGCTACTGCATTGCTCCATCAACGTGATCATTTACTGGCTTCTGCAAAGCAGGTGGAAGAAGGAAGAAACACGGATGTGTTTGTTTCTATAGTTGGATGTATAGCACTGAAAACTGCTTGGAAGTGAACACAGCAAATCAATGTAGGGAGGATGAGGGAAGATCCAGTATTTGTGCTTTATCTGCTCCAGATCTAACTATTACAGATATAGGATCCCTGATGTGTAGTCAGCCTAGCGATTCTACTTTTGTAATTTTAGGTGACTGAGCAAAAAAACTCCCAAACACAACCCTTTAAATGAGATCTGGAAAGTTGCTGCTAGCCATTATAAATACTGGGCTAGATAAATCAATGCCTTGACTCATTATAGAGCATTTCATATACTCACTGTCACACTTTAATTATTACATATTATATATACATTTTATGCAAACATTTTATGGCAGAACACCCACACTGCCACTTTTCAATGAAACAAACAAAATAATTTTCTCGTTTGTTGATGTTAGTTTAAAGTCTTTGTCATATACTGGAGCCCCACAGTTAACATGTTTTTGTGAAGCTATACTAGAGTAATGTATTTTCAAAGGCTTTCATGGCTGGAATCACTCACGGTAACCCTATACTAGATGATATTTTGCTCTCGCGATAAAGAAGGAAAGGAAAATCTTCAGTTGTGAACAGACCAAAATGGGGTATATACTGCAGCCAGTGAGCCGAAAATACTCAGCAGTGTACGTCTGATCAAAACAGCAAACTGTTAATGCACCACCAACCACAGGAGCACAAGGTGAAACATGTCAGTATAAAAATTCATTGAAGGATGCAACCATCTTCAAAACTTGTGTTTACGAAGATAATAAAGTCCACCTATAGGTCTCCAGAGTAAGGGGCGGGAAAACCACTTAAGGTAATCTAGGAGGAATTACCTTTCAAGTGCACAACTGAGCATATCTTATCCAAAATGATGTTCCAAAATCTGAAATTGTGCATGCATTTATTATTCCTTTCTTTCTTTCATTTATATACCAGTTTTCTCTGTCTCTGAGGCAATGGTTCTCAACCTGGGGGTCGGGACCCCTGGAGGGGTTGCGAGGGGGTTTTAGAGGGGTCGCCAAAAACCATCAGAAAACACAACATTTTCTGTTGGTCATGGGGGTTCTGTGTGGGAAGTTTCACCCAATTCTATCACTGGTGCAGTTCATAATTCTCTTGATTGTAGATGAACTATAAATCTCAGCAACTACAACTCCCAAATGACAAAATTAATCCCCCCAACCCCACCAGTATTCAAATTTGGTCCAGTGATGAAAATACATCCTGCATATCAGATATTTACATAAAAACAGTAGCAAACTTGCAGATATGAAGTAGCAATAACAATATTTTTTTTGCTTGGGGGTCACCACAACATGAGAAACTGTATTAAGGGGTCGTGACATTAAGAAGGTTGAGAACCACTGCTCTGAGGGGACTCAAAGCGGTTCACAACAAGGCAAATGGCAAAATTCAATGCCTCACAAAATATAAAATACAACACATAACTAAAATAGCATATAACAATAGATTAAAACCAGTAGACTCTAAAACATTAAACATGGCAAACATGTTAGTGGCAAAGATAGTGAGGCCTTTGCTTCCTGATGGTTCAATGTACACAAAATTTGTTTCATGCACAAAAATATTTCAAAATATTGCATAAAATTCCCTGCAGGCCATGTATAAGTTAAATATGAAACATAATTGGATTTCGTCTCCAACATATACATACATGTGAATACAGGTATTTGAAAATGCCAAAAAAAATATATCCAGCCCTGAAACACTTCTGGTCTCAACACATTTCAGATACAGGAAACACCACCTGTAGTGCACGCTTCTAGAGAAAGGGGCAGGAAAACTGCATAATCTGGGTAGAGATAGCTTTTAATAGCATAAAAAGATCTGGGTTGTAGTTTTTTTTCGGGCTATATGGCCATGTTCTAGAGGCATTCTCTCCTGACATTTCGCCTGCATCTATGGCATGCTTAGATGCAGGCAAAACGTCAGGAGAGAATGCCTCTAGAACAATGGTTCTCAACCTGGGGTCCCCAGATGTTTTTGGCCTACAATTCCCAGAAATCCTAACAGCTGGTAAACTGGCTGGGATTTTTGGGAGTTGTAGGCCAAAAACATCTGGGGACCCAAGGTTGAGAAGCAGTGCTCTAGAACATGGCCATATAGCCCGAAAAAACCTACAACAACCCAGTGATTCCGGCCATGAAAGCCTTCGACAATACATACAATTTTTTATCAAGGCTGAGAAACAGGAGTGAGCAAGACTACTTTCCCACCAGATAGGAAGAGAAAGAGAAGAGGAAAAGCAGAACTGTATTAAGCACACTATAGGTCAGGCATGGGTAAACTTGGGCCCTCCAGGTGTTTTGGACTCCAACTCCCACAATTCCTAACAGCCTCAGGCCCCTTACTTTTCCCCCTCGAAACGTAAGGGGCCTGAGGCTGTCAGGAATTGTGGGAGTTGGAGTCAAAAACACCTGGAGGGCCCAAGTTTACCCATGTCTGATATAGGTGCATCCACACTGTATAATGAATGGTTTGACATCACTTTTAACTGTCATGGCTCAATACCATGGCATCACGGGAGATGTAGTTTTACAAGGTCTTTTAGCATCTTCTGCCAGAGTGATGGTTCCTCATCAAACTGCCTTAATTGTGGGGGGGGGGGGGGTGGAAATCCAGCATCAGGATGTCCAAGACCTAAACACCTCCTGAGTGAGGCGCCTCGGAGAAAACACACCGAGCAGCCCCACGGCTTCCAAAGGCCACACGCGCCCGCCCGCCTGCCGGCCTGGGCGGCCCTTTTCCCCGCTCACTTTTTGTTGTAGAGCTCCTCCAGGCGGTGCCACACGGCGGCCTGGCCAGGCCCCGAGCTCTGGCTCTGCTGCAGGTAACCCGGGACGTCCTTCATGGCAGCGCCGGCAGCGGGAGCGACGACAGAACAGTGAGTGACCCCAAGAAGCCGCACAAGCAGGAGGCCGGGCCGCCCTGCCTGCCGCCGGAAATGCACACTCACTTCCGGCAGTGGCCGCGCAGGGCATGCAGGGTACCGTATGGCCCCGCATAGCCGCCGCCGCCGCAGCAGTGCTGGAGGAGGGAGGAAGGGAGGGCGGGGCTGGTCACCATGGTAACAGAGGCCTAGTCGCCTCTGTCGAGGCCTGCACATTCGTATCATAGGGCCTCCGCATCCATTCACAATGCCAGTCCCACAGAGAAGGACTGGTTGCCAAGGCAACGGCGGCCTAGATTCCTCCACCGGAGCCGGCGCTTTCCGATGGGGTCGAAGCTTAATTTCATTTAGCCGACCCCGCGTGAGGGGAGAGAGACCAGGCTGGGAAGGGGGGGGGGATCGGTCACCATGACAACATAGGGCCTAGGTCCCTCCGCGGCCTGCGCCATACTTAGAACAGTGGAGCTTCTCTAAGTAAGAGGCCCCTTTCCGCCCCCATATAGGCCTGTTGGGTGGCATTAGCACACAGCACACGTGTTTCGCTTGCGACAGTGCCTCTCTCGGGACAGAGGCGGCCCTAGGTAATTTTCAACTTTAAGCAAACAGTATTTTGCCGCCCCCCCCCCCCAACCAATCACTGATACGTATTTTCTGTTCGTCGTGGGAGTTCTGTGTGCCATATTTGGTTCAATTCCATCATTGGTGGAGTTCAGAATGCTCTTTGATTGTAGGTGAACTATACATCCCAGTAACTGCAACTCGCATATGTCAAGGTCTATTTTCCTTCAAGAGTGCCCCTGGGCAAAATTAACTATACTGCAAAGGCTTACTTTGTGTAATGGGTTGAGCCACCCCTGTCTCAGGATAAGCAAGTCCAGTGTTGAGGGCTGTCGAAATTATCTGTGCATGAGGTGCTGTTATAACATTTTGAAGGCGGCAGCGAAAATGTATCCTTGAAGATGAAGTAGAGTAACAGAGGTTTTGGACTTCACATCCCAGAATCCATGGTCCCTGTAACCTGTGGGAGCAGGCCTTCAGAGAATAAGGAAGGCAAGCTCCTGGCCCAGTAGGAGCCACCTTGGGAGAACAACTAAAAGTGGGAAAGAGGTTTGGGTAAGAAAAATGTAAAAATAAATAAATATCCTTTTCCCAATTCAAAAACACAAAAGGTAATAACTGTGGAACATTGGAATTTTAAAGCACCATTTCATATATTCGGGTTTGAAGTTGAAATTTGGTTTTCTAAGTGCTGCAGATAATGAGGGCCTGTCGCCCGGCAAGATCTGCTAAGTAATATAAAATAAATTAACAGTGGAGAAATTGTAATCATGATTCTTATTTTGAGCGCCCTCCCCCCCCACACACACACGGTAATTCTATGTATTTGCAACATTATTTGTACTTTTGGTTTTGCTTTTTCTATGTATATATAGTATTTTTCTTCAGCAGTTCAACATTGCCAAAATTGTCATCAAGCTATGCACAGTCATGACAGCATTTCTGACTTCTCATAGCATTTTCCTACTTAGCATTATTTCATTGATTCATTGTCCTAACATTCTCAAAATCACAGTATTTAACAGCTAAATTTGTACTGGGCATACCACGCTAGCAAGGCAATCTGTAAGAGGGACTTCAATTTCAGTTTTGGTTGTATTCATCCTAGGAGGAAGCATATTTGTGTGCTGACTGTATGCCCACTACCTAACAACTGATCAGCATTGTTAGCCTTGACAAAAAAAAATCACAGTTGTGAAAGAAAAGAGGATTATTCAAAACATTTATGGAATGAGATAATGCACTGAATAATTTCTAACTCTGTAAGGTCTAATATGATTTTCTGTGACGAGTTTCATCCACAGTAGCATGCTGTGATCTTATTTGGTTTTTGGAGAGGTGATGGGAATATAGCTGCATCAAGGCAGAAGACTCAATTGTATGGATTTTATGATTTTCAGCAGCATGTGTTGGTCACCAGGAATCTTGCTTGTTTGGCTGTCTTGCTCAGTCCAGCAACATGAGCCACCTTTTCATAACTATAGATTGTATAATTAAAAATGAACGGTATTAGTGTTTATTTGAAATAAGATAAGACAAGGTCTTCTAGAAAAGTAGTGCTGTTCTGAGATCTGCAAAAAATCTCGATGTACTTAATAGTGCAAAAAACAGGCAAAGGCTTTAATTGCCTATGCTTTAATACTGAGATTTTTGAACTAAAATATGCGAGCCTCCTTGGGAAATTACAACATTGAAAGATCTGATGAGATAAAGTAATTGTAATTTCCTAGTATCTGCTTTCTTCCTCTTGGATAACTTTTAAAAGGCTAAGCTATTACAAAGCATAAGCTAATTTAGGTTCTCCTATTAGGAACATTACGGTAAAGAGCTGTTCACTCAGCTGTTCTTCCTGGCTGAAGATCACTAAAAGCAAACAGAAAGGTGGTTTGCTCTATGCTCTAGAAAATCTCCCACAACCTTCACATCACTGATACAACAAGGGGGAGGAGGAAGACGAACAGGGTCCTGTCCAGCTGTGTTGGTGGAACCATTAATTTTTTCAGAAGCAGTAGAAGGAAAGGCATTCAGAAACATATCAGACAACTTTCTCTTGCATTTCTTATTTCTTGTACAGGACCCAGCAGTGAACAGGGAATGAACTGGCGATTACATTTCAGAGTCTCAGTAGCAAAGCATGTACTTCGTGCTGCAAGTTTTGAGAGGTTAATGGGTGAGTAGAAGACTAATTCAAGGGAACAGTATGTTATCTAAAAAGGGCACCCTGAATATTGGGAGGAATATGGAGAGCTGGAATGGAAAATCCCACATATGTGTATGTAAAATCTTTTTTAGTATTAAACGAAGAAAAGTGAATGCAGTGTTATGGTGAATGAGACCATTGGTCCAACTTCCTCTGTACAAAGTAGTGACTGCTTTAATGGCATCTCTTCAGGATCTCTGGAAGAAAGAAGTCTTTCTTGACCCTGCTGCAGCCTGAAATTTTAAAATTAGCAATGTCACAACCTGAATTTATACATTTCTGCATGCAAAGCATATACTACTTAACCCTAGTTCAGAATTGAAACTGCATTACATTTATGCTTGTTAACAGAAGTTTTGGTAAGCAGAATGATTTGTAATTCTACTATTATCTCAACAGTAAAAGGAGAATTAAAATGTAAGACCCCTCCCCACCTTTGTATTTTTCTTTATCTTTTCTCTTAGCATGCATAGATTAGTGAGCTCGTACTTGGGGCAAAATCCTATTCCTTTGCCTGCCCAGTAGCAAACACATCGTAGACAATAGTAATGTATATTCCAGAAAACAGTCAGCTATATAAAGTTTGAATTAACTGAGTGGTTTTTCCTTCTGCGTAACATTTCACATTCTGCATTTGAAAATAATTGTTTGTTTGTTTGTTTGTTTTTAAAAGGTTGGAGGTATTTCTGGATATGTGCTCAGCAGTCCCATTACAAGAACTCCTTTAGTTCTATAGCACACAAAAATATGACCCTCATTTCATTAAGACCAAACTTTTCTCCTCCAAATGGACATGTCTTACTGCAGAGGATTCCAGGAGATAACATTAGCAAAATGTCAAGCATGTTTGAAGACAGGTATGAACTCATGTTTGCTTTTTGTACTCTTTCTACTATGGGTTTTCATTCTGGCATGTTTCCTGTTAACTTGCTGAATTATAGTAATTCCTGATGCATATTAAATGTCTATGCTGAATCTGATAATCTAGGCTAGCCGTATGTTTCCAGTCTCAGTTTGAGAACTCTGCAAGCCAATGAGCTCAGGTCAACTTATACCAGTCTAAAAGGATTTCTTTATAATCAGGGTTGGAGAACTTGAAGCCCTTCCGATTCTACACCGCAATACACATCATTGGTTGTGGGATTTGCAGCTGAAGAAGCAGAAAGACACAACATGATCACTTAGAAGTTTACCTAAGGGCTTATGGGATTGCTTAGGAAAAAGAAATATGTGCAAATTCCAAGACATATGCTTCCAAATAGCAGCTGTTATTTCTCTTATCTTTGTCCTTCCTGCTTCAGTCATGAGAATCGTGTCCCTGCTTAGTGCAAAAACCATCAGATCCAGCTCCTCTTGCTTCTTTATATTACCAAGCACACTCCACCAGTATCCTGGACCTGTCAAATTTGCCATTGTTATTGCCACTCATTCTAAAACAGTGCTGAGAGTATGAACCCTGGAAAATACTAATTGTGATTCAGAATGCACAAGATCTGTGTTTCTGTAGAGTACAGCTGGATTAAGTACTTCCAAAGCTGATTTCAGGTTGAACAAGGCTTTGAGGAAAGTGCTTTCCAGAAGCACCACCACTTTTGACCTTACCAGGGGACAGTTAATAATGGACACCAGAGGAGGTAGATAATAGTCCTGGTACCAACCAGCTGGCATTCTCAGCCTAATGCTATGAAGAGATATAATGAGTAAAGCAACTGTTGTTACTGCCATCTTCTCCCCCCTGTCCAACACTTTCGAATTCCACCCCAATGTGTAAGTTGGACCTACAGGCATTGGAAACAAGCAGGCAATTGCTATCTTTGTTGCCCTGGAAGAATGGAATCAATCAATGGCATTCCAAACTCAAAAAGGTATGTGAGAAAGACTCTATAAAATATACTTCTGATTACATCTGAAAGGATAAGCATTGTCAGAAAGACAAATTGATTTGTATCCCCATGTATAAAGCAAGTTTGCAAGACCAGTTTTTAATTTCCCTAATACTTGTTCAGACTGTTTTATCCTAGCTTCAGTAATTCCATTTTGGTGAACAGTGTTCTTTTGTAATCTCTTGCATATTTATTATATTGCTGGCAGGATCCAAGGAGTCCGGCACTTTTCCCTATCCACTTCTCCAATGCTGTTTTTTGGAGCTGGCAAAGGGGGAGACAACAGTGGAAAAGAGAAGCTCACCCTGAAAGATGTGACAGAATTAATTTGGAAGAAAGAATGCCACAGAATAGTGGTAATGGTCGGAGCAGGGCTCAGCACTCCCAGTGGCATCCCGGATTTCAGGTAACACAAAAGCTGAAATGGAGGCCTTGCCCTCTTAACTGCACGAGCATTGCCCCATGGCTGCCACCTAGGCCCCAGTTAATGTTGTTTCAAACTGATATTGAAGCAAGTGGTTTTACTGTGTAGATGGTTATGTAGAAACACTGGAACTGGTCTGAGGCCCAGATGATGATTACATACCACAAAGCATTGATGTGCATTAAGGTTTTCTTTTGCACGCTTATGTGGGAGTTTGTTGTCTGGCCACTGCAGTTTGAATCTGGTCAATGTAGATGGGGACCATTTTGGGTCTTTATCTGTAAAAGATATTGTCAGCAGCCTTCACATTGGTCACATGAGGAGCAGAGCATAGGCAGAAAAAGGGGACTTTGGTGCTTTTAAAAATTATTAAGGGTAGTTTCCTTTCTTGGCAGGGTACAACTTTTTTATTTAATGTGAATGTAACAATCCTATGTTTTACTTACATTTGTATTGTATGTATACATTGCATGTCTATGTATTTAGATACTTTTGTATTACTGCGATTAGTGGATACTGGTCTTTCTAGGGTACTACATTAGGTCAGTGTAAAGGGCCTTGATCCTACTCACCCACTCACTCTCACAGAGAGAGACGATACCTTGCAGGGGCTTACTTCCCTAACATATTCCACATCCTATTTTAACCCCCGCCCCCTTTTTTTTTTCCTTTTTGCAGGTCCCCTGGGAGTGGGCTATATAGTAATCTCCAGCAGTATAATATTCCATATCCAGAAGCCATCTTTGAACTTAACTACTTTTTTCACAATCCTAAGCCTTTCTTCTTGTTAAGTAAGGAATTGTATCCAGGCAATTACAGGCCTAATTATGCCCACTACTTCCTCCGTCTTTTGTATGACAAAGGGATTCTGCTGCGCTTATACACCCAAAACATTGATGGACTGGAAAGAGGTAAGCTGGAGACAGACACGCACTAGAGTCTTAGACAAAAGCCAACATGGAGGCCCTGTCAGTCTGTAGCAATGAGATTTTGGGTTGTGGGATTGGTAGTGTCATCCACTTGACTGAACTGTAACTGTGGTTGATGGAAGAGTTTGGCTCAACTGATCTTCTTCTCTCTGCCTTTTGTGTTCTAGTTGCAGGAATTCCTCCAGATAAACTAGTTGAGGCTCATGGCACATATGCTACAGCAACATGTACAGTCTGTCGAAGATCATATCCTGGTGAGGATTTCAGGGTAAGTGAAAATACAACATACACCCCTTCAGGAATAGCAGAAGCATATTTCTAATACTGTTTTGTTTACCTGTGGGACTGAATTTTTGCCAGATTTTTAAGCCACCTTTAGTCCCCTCCAGGGTCGAGAAAGGTGGGGTAGAAATGAAGTAAATAAATCAATATTAAAAAAGGAGATTACACTGGTCTTAAATCCCTGGAATTTACTTTTGAAGCTCTTTCAGGGTTGCTTTTGGTTTCATCAGAGCTTGGCACGTACAGAGTGTGGATTGTCTTTTCAGGGAATATGATGTCACAGTGTGTCATAGTGTCTTATATATGTTTATATTCTTTTACTTGTTCTTTTGTTTCAGGGGGATGTGATGGCAGAGAAGATCCCCAAATGCCCCGTCTGCACTGGAATAATCAAGCCAGACATAGTGTTCTTTGGGGAAGAGCTCCCTCATCGGTTCTTCTTGCATGTGACCGATTTCCCTATGGCAGACCTGCTATTTATTATTGGAACCTCTCTTGAGGTATGGACTGTCAGAAACATGGGAAGAGAATGAAAGCTGGGTTGTCGAGACAGATTGGTTCAGGGACTCTGAAAGGTATAGAGTAAACAATGAGAATGCAAAAAGAGAGACACAGTGGCTGTTAAAGAAACCAACAAACCCCAATGTATTTTAGGACATATGAGAGACAAGTTATAAAAGAGCTTGGTAAGCATGGATTGAATTCCTAAGAAAGGATTCTTAACTATCGAGTAATGAAGGAAAGATGAACAACTTCTAACAAATTCTGAGCTGGAAAAGATGAATCTGGTAGTCACTCGGTGATTCCAGAAATAAGGTTGATATCCAATAACAATTAGATATGCACAAAAGAAAAAAAAATAGGAGGTACTCAAAATATTTCCTCTGGGGGCCTTTCCACACAGCCCTATATCCCAGAATATCAAAGCAGAAAATCCCACAATATCTGCTTTTAACTGGATTATCTGAGTCCAAACTCAGATAATGTGGCATTTTCTGTTTTGAATTTCTGGGATATAGGGCTGTCTGGAAGGGGCCTGGGACAGTGTTCCTTGAAATAGCACTGGAAAGCCATATTTTCTCCATCCTATACAGATTCTGTCAGGTACAAGTGGGGAGGGGAGCAATATAGTTCTTGCATACAGTAAGAATCAGATGGTCTGAATAAGAATATTCAGTTCTCTAAACAAGAACTTTACAACTCTCTCTGAATGACTGAAATGAATGTGTGCCTGGTGTATTGTAAAGAGAGTGACCTATGCGGCAGTAAAACCGGAATTATTATTAGCTCAGCTATAAATTCATATTAACAGTTGTCTTAAACCAGCCACTATCTCAAAGCACTGGCTGAACTGTGACATACAGATAAATATTATTATTATTATTATTATTATTATTAAACTTTATTTGTACCCCGCTAGCATCTCTCGAAGGACTCGATGCGGCTTACAAAGGCCAAGGCCTCAAACAACAACAGCAGACAATAACAATACAATGCAAGCAAATTAAAAAGCAATAACAAAAACAAAACATTACACTATTACGCAATAAAACCAGGGCCAGGCCAATGAAGGGTACAGGTTAAAAAAGTGCTGGGTGTAAGAGGTGATATGTTGGGATTCTGGGCAAGTGCAATGTGCAGAGTCTTAAGCTCTAATAAAGTGCTTCTGGGACGTAGTGTTCTTTATGTCAGCAGACTACTTTATCACACCATCTATGTTACTTTAAAAGCATTTGAGCAGGCAATGAGAGGGACACCATACTGTAGTTTATCATTTGAGGCCTTGCCATTGATTTCTGACAAGAGACCAAGTAGCAGAGTGCTGTCAAATTCTTTGGTGCTGTGACCTTTGATCTGGGACTGATAATAGCCTTTTCCTCTTGATGTTGAAATTTTAGGTGGAACCCTTTGCTAGTCTGGCAGGCACAGTCCATGCTTCAGTTCCCCGTGTGCTCATCAATCGGGACTTGGTGGGGCCATTTGCATATCAGCCACAACATAATGACGTGGCTGAACTGGGGGATGTCATTAGTGGAGTGGAAAGAGTGGTGGAACTCTTAGGCTGGAAGGCAGAGTTGCAAGAACTGATGAAAAAAGAAAAAGAAAAGGTAAGAAAAATTTGTCTTACAACACTTGCTGTTCTTCATTCATGATTTTTCGTAAAATCTTTAATGAGTATGAGTCAAAACAGAATTAATCGCCAGTTGCTATGTAATACTGTCTGTATAATTTATTCATAAATCTGTACATCCTTGTGTTCAGTTTTCCATTTCTGAGTATTTATTGCAATGTTTGAGCCTAGATGGATATGCATGCATGACTGGAGAGTATGTAATTTTGTAATTTTGTAATGTTTCAATGTTTCTATGTATAATTGCAGTTCAACAGAATTAAAATAGTTGAAATTTATTATGCTTGCAAGCAGAGCAGTGTAATCATTTAACCAGAAACTATGTCAAAACGTATCGGAAAATATGCAAAAATTATCTTTTTCTGCTCTCCTGCTGTCTTACCATGAAATTCCAATGTTTCCAGTTTTAGATTGAGAAATAACATAGGCTACTTAACAGTAGAAGCTAAACAGTTAAAATGAATGAGGAATGTTAGTGAATGTTAATGATTTATCAATATCATGAAAATATAACATTGTATGCAATGAACATATATATTGTATGCCTATTTTGATAAATCTTTTATACACATAATAAAAGTGAAAATGTGTATATGTGTATGTGGTAGAGGTGTCCACTTCCACAGACAGCCTCCCGCCTCCACAAACAGCTATAACCCACAGTGCTGGGAAGCCACCAAAAGCACTCCCTCCAAGGACATTTCAGGTTACAATGGGCACCATGAACATGTCTCCCAACCCCTGCCAATGTCCTCCCCATACGCCACACTGCCCACCATCCAAGTGAAGGCTTTAATTGGGGAACAATTTCATCCTAGATGTTCTGTTTTCCCTCCAGAATTGAAATCCAAGGATTCATTTTTCTCTCCATGGGTATGGAATTTGCATGACTCCGCCAACTGCCTCCCCTTAACTCTTTCCTATGGCACATAGCAAATAAAAATAGAACTACAAATTATCTAACTGATATTACCTAATACCCCAATACAAACAATGCATTTTTCAAATAACCCGAGCATTGCCAGGTCCCCAAGCTAGTATATAAATATATTTTTTTAAAAAAAAAAAGAAGTGAAAAGATTATTGTAGGACATCAGGCATCATAGTATTTGTTCTACCATATGGATACATAAAGACATGCGAGGAGTGTATTCCCAATCTTTTTTTTTTGTATAAAGTGAAACAGTGTGATTGTATATAAAAACCCTTCAGTTGTAAATACCGTCTTCTCAAATATGTTTCTCCTACTCTTACTTAGTGTAGTATAACTACTCAGACTATTTGCAGAGTAACTAGTTAAATCAAACAATGCAAGAAAGATTTTACTCTAGCAAATAGGTAAATTGTCTTATTTGTGAAGCAGATGTTTCCTTTGAGAAAGAGTGGTGTTAGAAATCCATAGGGGAGCAGTATACATAATAGTATTCCTATTGTCTTTCAAAGTATAAAACTCATTTGCTTCTGTAAAAACAACCTGAGGAAATCACTGCACCAAGGAATTATTTCTGGCTTCTTCTTTCTTGGAATGATCCAGACTCAGTGGTTCATTCTTAGGTGTTTCTCTTCTTACCTCTCAGTGGCAAGATACTGTAGATACTGCCATTTCCTTCTCTCTGTATTCTTGCATTATCATTTTGTTATGATCTACAGTTGAAGTGACAGCTTTTGAAACAAAAGCAAATTGCATAAACAAGTAATGCCTGTTCTTTTTGTTTTTAGCTGGATGTAAAAGACAAATAGAAATTCTGACTTCTGCTGCTGCTGAAAGTGTTGTATACCTCCTAAAGGAATGAGTTTCACCACAGCTGAAGGTTACAGTGATGAGCAGGTGTCTGGAGGAAATGTTCCTGCCACTTTTAATAGAAACTAATTGATCAGAAGAAATAAGAATTATTTGGAGAACTAGCTGAACTAGTTCAAGGCATCAACTAAGAACCTTTTCTAAAGACACTTGGAAAATGATGATTGAGATTACAGAACTGACTTCTACAAAAGGAGACTTAGATGAGGAGAGAAGGTTCAACATAGAAGCTACCTCACAGTAAAGTTCACCTCATAGATTTTTGTCTTTCGTTTAGACATTTTCTGTTTGGATTCTTGGAGTGCTTGATACAGCATGACAGATAGTTTCAATTGTTGCCTTAACTGGATTTGCCTTTTATCACTTGGTCTGGCTAAATGTCTAACATCCTGTGTGCTTGTGGTAGCATGCAGGTGAAGTCAAATGGCACTCCAGTTTTCATTAGAAGTGATGGAAGTCTACTGAATCTCATCTGCTGCTGTAGTTCCTATGAAGATCAGTCTGGAAACAATGTGGAAATAATGTGATCTATATTAATTTGCAGTGCATACTTTGTTACATGCAGATACATTGATAATTGTACATTGACATTTTTAATGAGAAATAGCACACAAAGAATGTTATAACTGCTGTCTAAATTGGAATAAACTTTCATGAAGTTGCTTTGTGAATTAGGAAAAATATTCATCCAAACAGCAGTAATTATTACTCCGAATAAAAGCACCTTTCAATTACCTGTTTTTAATTTACTGCTTCCTAAATAGAAATATGTAGCATAAGGTTTTATTAATCCCACAATTTAACATGTAATTTGTGATTTTTTTTTCCAGAGTATATCAGATTCTTGAATGTGAGTCTTCCGTATGCTCACCATTCCTTTAGCACAGATGCTCCTGGTGTGGGCTCCAAGATGTTTTCTTTCATTATTCAAACGTAATTTGGAAAAGAGACTTAGAGAGTACCATCTCCTACTGTTCAGTGATATACTTGGACACAGTCAACCTGCTGTTCCAGTATTGCTATGTTATGAACTTCAAAATCACCAGTGCATCCCTCTTATCACTGGCAGTTCTGTACAACATGGATTGATATACTATTAAGTAACAGGAAGAATTTGACCCAGCTTTCACATTATACAGTAGCGATACCTATGTACATGGAGGCCTTGATCATTTACTAGTTCTGATGCACGGTTTGAAGGGAGGGAGGTGCAGGATACATTGGCAATAGTATCTATGTGCATGAAGCTCTGCACGTAAAATCCTGCATATTCCTCCTGCCCAGTAGCAGTCAATACTCCCAATCTGGAAAGTGATTCAAACCATTTAAAAAGTCTGTTAGATTAGGGGGAGGGGATAGAAGTGCATTCTCAAGAACAGTCCATCTGTTTTTTTCTTTCTCTCGGGAGTTCACAGCAGCTGGTTCTTCCACACTTTGAAAATTTCCCTGGTTGCAAAGTTTGTATATTCTCACAGTTGCAAAGCTTGTATATTCTTTCCAAGTAGCTTTCAGCAGCTACTTTTTTAAATTCTATAAAGCTGTATTTGCATAAAGGAAGTTTTTGCAATGAGATCCTGATTGCACATTCAAAGAAACAGATTTGTATATCAGAATGCGTTATTCAAATACTGTATTGGAAAGCTTTTGAGTATAGGGTACACCATTCAAATAAGACATCTGAATCACCAACCCAGTGAAAACCAGATGTGTTTCTTACTATACACTGTAGTGAACCAGCTAATTCATGAAGATGGGCACAACGTCTTTATTGTGGACCATAGATGTGAATTTGAGCAGAGGGCTGGGACCCTGTCCTCAGGAGCATTACAGTCCCTGATGTGACTGGGAGTGGTCTGTTTTCTCTTGCCCTTCGTTGGTCACTGATCTCATCCAGCAGGGCTTTGTGAGCAAGTTATTTCATTATTTTAAGTCTTTAACCTGCATTATATAGATGGACACATATCAGGAACACAATTATGAAGGCAGTTTATGTCAAAAGTTTCCAACATTTTAAAATGTATAGTGTTAACTGATTCAGACATAGCAAATGCTGAAAGATTATTTCGAGTGCCCTTTACTAAATGGGATTCTCTACACTTATAATCAGACTGAACCATATAGTTTACAATTGAAAGCCGTATTGGCTTTCAATTTATTGCACGTACAGAAGAGTTTACCACTGACTCAGCCATACAGCACTGTGCTTGAGTATAATACTGCTTTAGCTCTACTCATTCCAGTTTGTCTTTGTTCCTTATTTCCGTCAGTCTTGTAAGTGCTCAGAGAAATAACATCCCAAGAATCAGATGCACACACATGGTTACTTGCAGGTTATATTTATTCTATTGAAAACCTTGAATTTACAATTGTGCTAAGTTCAGAAACTGCTGGTAAAGTGGAAACAAGCTGAAAGGACTTTCTAATAAACGGAAATGTTTAAGATCAGTGTAAAGGATGGAGATGCCTGACAGCAATTTGTAGAACACTATGGAAATATGGAAACTGAAGTATATATTTAGAGTGCAGTCAAGAAAGTAATCTGCTTTTTATTTGAAGAGCACAACATGTGTATTAGTTCAGAAGACTAAAGAACACAATACAGTGTCAGACCACATAGGGATCAGAGACCCTCTATAATCTGGAAATGTCAACATGTATAACAATATAAGCCGAAAATGTCTCCAAAGATTCCATCCCTCACCTTCCTAATAAACAAGCATCCTGCTATCTATCCCATACATACATACATACATACAGTTTTAACACTGTACATCCCCTTTCCTGCAGCCAGCTCATAAAGAGAGCTGCCTAAAATGGGTTTCAATCACCAAATTTGTTCCAAATATGCCTTCTACGGTTAAAAAGACATAGTATCACATATTGGAAAAAAAATAAAGTTCATCTTTGTTTACACATTTCTCTGTCAAACTGTTTGCAAGTATATGTTCACAGCTATTGAGAGTATTCATGCTTTCTTAAACACTACAACATTGTATGGTTGCTACATTATGTGCTTGGCACAAGTATCAATACATACCCTTGCTGCAAACACACAAATGTGTGTGTATACCACACTTTCTTGGTACAGCAGTAGCTGGGCACACGCACTCAGCGTACTTTATGTGCTACTGCATCCTCTACAATGAAAAGTGCCTTCTCCCTCCTTCATAAAATATGCTGGAAAATCCATGGAACGAATACAAAACTCTTAGGAATACCGAGAGAAAAAGAGAGCAACAGAGTCTCTGGGTGTAAAAAGCTCTCAAAGGTAGGAGGGCTAGAGAAGATGCAGGAATTTCAGCAGCTTGAGCATAGGATTCCAGCCCATTGGAAATCCTTTCTAGGGACTGATCTTCTGATACAGTACCTCTTATGGAGGGGGAATAGAAAATCCCCAGGTTTTGAGGAAGTGGCGAGTTTAGTCCAATTCCAAGTCAGAGTCAGATGATGGCCTTTCTTCAACCATCTGAGGAATGGTATCTTCCAGAGTGGTTAAATTGCCATCAGGATCCATTGCCATTGGTTGGATTACCTGCTTCCTGTAATAGAAAAAGGGAGAAATCATATTTTAATGGGAGATATTTAGTGTGTCTCTGCTAAGGAACAAAGAAACTTTTCCTTGTCTTTAATGAAGGCTCAATCCCATTGATTGCCCTTCTGAGCACCCCCACAATTGTCCAATCAGGATAACCAGTTTGGGTGAAGTGTGAACTCTTCTAGATGCTTACAAGTGAGAGACATTTTGGTAGGGAGGTTCAGTCTGCCTCAGCATTTCTAAGGAAGCTTTTCCATAGACTGGACAAAGCGGTCCAGACTCCCAGTTTCCTGTGAACACCCACAAATACCATCTGTCTCATTAGTAGAAGGGAATATACAACTAGCCTCATTAGGGTTTATGTTTCTTCCTAGAGCTTGTCATACCTGGAGAGTTTGTCAAACATATTCACCAGTTTCATTGCTTCATGTTCCTTCTGCTCATCTGTCATCCCTTCCATTGGATTGGGAAGTTTCTCTTCCACACGTCCAGTTATAGGGTTAATGCTATACAGACAGAAATGGTAAAAAAACAAAAGGGGAAGAATGTTAATTTAAAAGCAGGCAGAGATACTAATTACAGGCATAATGTATTTACTGGTGTATCTTTTGACTTCACCGGGAATATAGCCAACATTCTTCAAACTGCGTTTTCTATGGGCTATTGTGAAGTCCCATTTCCTCACCTCTGTAAAAATCAAAATGGTGCCAGGGATTTGAGAGGATAAATGATCATCTTCCTACTGACAAAACTACACAAATTCCCATTCTTGCCATATGGACTAATTTTTAAATAGAGGCAGGAGGATACCAGTTGCCAAATCAATTGCTATAATTGACTATTGGAGACACACCTTTAATATCACATGTAAACAAGAGCAACAGTGGAGGAGGAAGGTAACAATTTTGATTCTATCCCTAAATGCAGAACAGAATGTATTTCACCTATCTATCTGTTCAGTGCTTCTCCTTATCTACCCATATAGTAATCTTCCAAAATGAAGAAGGGTGCTGAAAGAAAGGCGCATGAAACCCTTGTTGTGACAGCCTTCCATCTGGAAATCTATGTCCTCAACGAGAAAGACCATGCTGATCCAGAATAGGTCTTCAATAGTCATTTATGGACCCACTGCCAAGACTCTATCTTTGGAAGGCAATCCTACTGAGCCGTGAGTAATTGCCCATGACTAATTTTCCTCCTAGAATTAAATGGAAGTATATACGTATTTGTGTGTTGAAGTGCTGAGAATATTTATGGAAAATGGAGAAGAGTTGGTGGAGGAAGGTTAACAGAGCACCTTGAGATGTAATTGTGAAATGGCTGCTGGTAAAACAATTGCAGGATGCCTATAGCAGTGAATAATTATGTACATATTTTAAGGGTGATTGGTCAGGATCTTCTAATAATGAAGGGATGGGGCAAGGGACAGATAGTAAAACTGCCTCGTTCACTACTAGTAGTCTCTTCCATAATATAGAGCAGTGGTTCCCAACCTCGGGTAACCAGATGTTTTTGGCCTGCAACTCCCAGAAATTCCAGCCAGTTTACCAGCTGTTAGGCTTTCTGAGAGTTGAAGGCCAAAAACATCTGGGGACCCCAGGTTGAGAACCACTGATATAGAGGTTTTTATGTGATCACTGGAGTACAAAACAGTGGCAAATGGTAGAATGTGCTTCCTAATGTGCCACGTCTTTGTATGATTCTTTATGGGTGATCACAAAGAAAACTGCTTCATCTACCATCTTGAAGACAATCTGGCAAGCAACGACTAAGGTCATTTGACAATGGAACCAGACAAACGAACACATAGTGTATGCTAAAGGAGAATGAATGAGTGAGGAATTGAACAAAACACTAGGAAAATAGCATTATACATAACACATTTTTTGTTCCTGGGTTATGAATGTCATTTCCTAATTGGTTCTACTATAAAAACACAAAAAAGGTTATTAAACTGCAAAAACTTGGTTTTGGGGGACATCCTGCAGCACATTTTGCTATAGTTTTTCAAAGAATATCTCATGGAGTCTCAACCAATTTAACATATGTTTGTGGCAGCCACAAAAATGAGGTTTCTGGAGTATAACAACTACTTTCAAAGTAAGCACCATACAATTAAATAGGAAATAACACTTTCAAACTAGGAACAGATTTTTTTTCAAATTTTGTTACATAATGCGGTGTGCACCCAAAGGAGAAGCACAAACATACAAACAGGTCATACTTGGGTTTTGCTTCTTTGTATTCTTCTGTATCGGTGTCTTCATCCTCAGAGTATTCTCCTTCAGTCCGACCTCCAGCCATGAGGCCTCGTGCTGCCAGCAGCCCAGCTGCATTCCCATATCCTGTGTACTTCACAAACCGAGACACTGTTGAGACAAATCCAAACAGAAGGGATCAATAAGGCAAATGAAGACAACCGTTGAATTCAAAAGATGGTATGGCCCTCTCTTATTAGGGCAACTTTGCAGGAAACAGATGGTTGAAACTTTTCAGAAACTTCTAACAAGAAATACTGAGATACTTCCTGATGAAGTCTAACAATACAACTGCAGTTCAACACGGTCAGGTCTGAACTGGAAATAGGAACTGCAGGAAATAGGAACTGCAAAATCTCATTTTCTCTCTAGTGGTACATAAACTCTGGAAGGAACTCTAGAGGCAGGATGGAAAGAGGTGACTAGAAGTAGCTCTCAAAATCAGGTAATATTTATTTATTAATTTATTGATTCTAAACCCTCTGGTTGAACAGGGCTTCTCATGTCTCCCTCTAAGTTCAGGTGGAAACGAGCAACTGATCTGGACTCTGAGTGGCTGCAGCACAGGAACAAGTTCTGACAGCATGCTTAGAACCAACACCAACTTGATCTCTTAGTGAATCTGCTAGGGATGGCATTTAAGGAGGCAACAATCCATGTGAGAAAGATCTTGGAGTCTTCGTGGACAACAAGTTGAACACGATCCAACAGTGTGATGCAGCAGCAAAAAATACCAATGGGATTTTGGGCTGCATCAAAAGGATTTACAGTGTTCCCTCACTTATCGCAAGTGTTACGTTCTAGGACCACCCACAAAAAGTGAAAATCAGCAAAGTAGAGACACGATATATATATATATATAGAGAGAGAGAGAGAGAGAGAGAGAGAGAGAAAGCGAGAGGGGGGGAGTGCGGGAGGGAGAGAGAAAGAGAGAGCGCATTCTGAGGGTGAGAACGAAGCGAGGAGAGATTGAAAGTCACCACACACCTTTTTTTTTTTTTGCTAGCTATAAGGAAGGGGCTATAAGGCCGCGATTTACATATTGCTTTGTATCTCCTCTCTTTCTTTTTTTATGATTGGTTGCCTCTCTCCCGAGGGGGAGGGTGAAACCCCCTTCCACACTCCATTGTTGCAAGGAGGCATAAACCCACAAAACAGTGAGTCCACAAAAAGTGAAACGCGAAGTAGCGAGGGAACACTGTATAGTGTTTGGAGTGAGGAAGCCTTCATGCCTTTGTATTCTGCTTCGGTTAGACCTCACCTGGGATACTGTGTCCAGTTCTGGGCACCTCAGTACAAAAGAGATATTGACAAGTTGGAAAGTGTCCAGAGGAGGGCAACTAAAATGATCAAAGGTCTGGAGACCATGCCTGAGAAGAAAAAACACAAGAAACTGCTTCCTCTGGCATAATGTCTATAGAAATAAATGGAGACTGCATTATATGGCATTATATTCCTATAACAGGCCCTTGTCTGTTATAGGAAAACTGCCAGTGAATTGTTAACTAATAGAGTTTTGCAAAAATGTTGATGCTAAAGAGAGAAAAAAAACAAGCAAACTGAAATGTTCAGGAAAAACATTAAAATGATGTATTGGCACAACTTACAGACAAAAAGTCACTCTTGTTACTTTATGGAACACAAAGTGTATTGTGTATAGTTTTCCTTGGCACAAAATTATCATATTTGGTATTCTCAAAGTATAATTGCATATGGGATATATTGAGTATATTGATCAGATCATGATATGAATAAACATAGCAGTTTAAATAATGCACCAGTAAGGCCTTTTCGCGGACCACCATCAGAATTTGGGGGGGGGGGGGGCTGAAGCCCCTCAAGCCCCCCCCCCCCCAGCTACATGCCTGTCATGCGGGGACATGAGAGAAGCCTCCATAGGATGGGAAAACATTCTGGCATCCCCAGGACAATGTCCATGCAGACTGACAATTCTCTCACATCAGAAGTGATTTGCAGTTTCTCAAGTTGTTCCTGACACAAAAAAATCCAAAAACCTAGAGCTAGTCTTAATATTTTTCCTCTTACATAATTTTTAGAAATAAAGAAATAAAGTTGTGGGAGTAAATATATGAGCACACTGTCCATTAGCCTCTTTTAGACCAATTTTATTTTTATTTATTTTTTGAGAAAATAGGTTAGGAAAAGACCCCCACCCCCACCCCATTTTTGTTCTGAGCCCTCAGATCTGTGCTTAAGATACCTTATTCACATTTTCCTCATTTGTTCCATGAAATTTATGACTCATGAGTTTGACTTTTTAATTCACTTTGCACCCCTTCTCCCCTGGCACTAAGCATATTACAGAAGTGAGAAAACTAGATTGATGAGTTAATCTATCAAATTCCTTTCTCATCGGGTTTTGAGTCAGGCTGCAGTAAGGGAGTGAAAAAAGTGACACTCACCGCTCTCTTTGCAGAGAACAAAGAGGAACTCTGCTGCACAGTGCTTCACATCCGTGTCAATGTGAGTCATGAGGCGCACCAGTTTATTTCTCAGCAAGTTTCCCACCTCTGGCCTGTTCTTTACATCCCGCAGTGGAGGGAGTACCTATGACGCCAGAGAAAGGGAAGAGTCAGGGGGAGAAAGGAGAGAGTCCTGTTAACTAACTCTCATAAGGCCTTAGCACAACAACAGTCACCTTCACAACCTCTCAGTGTCAGATTTGTCACTTGTATATCAGATACCCATACTAGACTCGTAGAACACACTTAACACACAAATAAATAGACCTATAGACTAATATATAATCCCCAAAATGTTGCAAAAATACACAATGGGAAGCCACAACACTTTGACTCATGCAGCAATCACAACAGCAATAAAAACTCTCTCTCTAGGGAGAGAAAAGAATGAAATTTAATGTTCCTATCCTATCACACATGGAGTAGAGAAGAAAGAAAGCTGTTTCCAGTATTGGAGGCAGCACAACATGGACAAGACAAATAGAAACCAGGCAGTAAATGTGTCATACACTGCACACTAGCCATTTAATCAACTGATCATACAGAAAAGCCCATCAATGATTGCATAAGTGAAATGTGATTATTTCAGTTCTCCACAAATGGATGAATACAGGGAGATTCTGAGACAGTTCATCACATATTCAAAAATGAAAAAAGAATGGCTGTGAAGCTACTGAGGCATGCAATGAAGCAGCTGCTTATTGCTTTGCAATGGATTTTCATATAATTAGATCTACAAAAACTTAGAACCAAAAATGGTAGTATGTTTCAACTTTCATTCAGCATTCCCAATGTCTTATATTACAGTGAGAACTTTTTTGAGAAAACTGTACAGGCTCACTGTAATATAAGACATAGAAATGGATGCCCACATGCCTTGCCCATGTGCAAAGGGCAGGCAAGAGAGATTTTGCCAGGGTCAAGCAAAGTCACTGAGAGTAAGTTTAAAGTTGTAATGCCAAGTCAAAACATAAAACAATAAAACAGTGGTTCTCAACATTCCTAATGCCGCGACCCCTTAACACAGTTCCTCATGTTGTGGTGACCCCCAACCATAAAATTATTTTTGTTACTACTTCAAAACTGTCATTTTGCTGTTTTGAATCGTAATGTAAATATCTGATATGCAGGATGTATTTTTATTCACTGGATCAAATTTGGCACAAATATCCGATATGCCCACATTTGAATACTGGTGTGGTTGGGGGGCGGGGGGGATTGATATTGTCATTTGGGAGTTGTTGTTGCTGTCAAAGAGCATTTTGTACTCCACGAACAATGGAATTGAACCAGACTTGACACACAGATCTTCCATGACTAACAGAAAATACTGGAAGGGTTTGGTGGGCATTGACCTTGAGTTTTGGAGTTGTAGTTCACCTACATCCAGAGACAACTGTTGACTCAAACAATGATGGATCTGGACCAAACTTGGCATGAATACTCAATATGTCCAAGGGTGAGCACTGGTGCAGTTTGGGCAAAATAGACCTTGACATTTGGAAGTTGTAGTTGCTGGAATTTATAGTTCGTGTACATCATGTTTTTGATGATGAGACGATAGTGAATGGCTCTTGTAGTAATTGTTAATTGTTTATTAATTGTGCAATTGTATTAAGTTGTTAACTGCTTTTATATTGTAACATTGAATTCTGCTGTCTCTTGTTCTTGTGAACTGCTGTGAGTCGCCTTCGGGCTGAGAACAGCGGTATATAAGTAAGGTAAATAAATAAATAAATAAATAAATAAATAAATCAAAGAGAATTCTGAACCCCACCGATAGAATTGGGCCAGACTTCCCATACAAAGCCCCCATGACCAACAGAAAATACTGTGTTTTCTGATGGTCTTTGGCAACCCCTCTGACACCCCCTTGTGCCCCCCCCACAGGTCCTGACCCCCAGGTTGAGAAATGCTGCAATAAAGATACAGAGTTGCTAAAAGGACACTTTCAAAAACACGTTAAAAATGCAAAGCAGTGGCTACAACATACAACAAAATAGCACACATGAAATCTAAACTGCCAGCTGTGTTTTTGCCAGATTTAGAGCAGATATAGCCCTCTAATTTTAAGAGGAAAAATAAAAATAAAAATAGCCACTTAATAAGTACAGGAGTACATCTGCCGGTAAATGGTTGATATATTTCTCTTTAGACCTTGAAAAACTTACAAGAGCAAAGCCACTGTTTGCCTAATCCCTGTTATTGGTTGCCATCCAGTGTAGATTAGTTCCCATTGCAAAGTAAGTCATCACACCAGTAATGCTATAAAATGCTAATGTGCAATCAGTTAAACAATGCAAGTTATTAAACTAATCTTGAAGCATGATCTGAATGGCATAGTCATTTAATATGCAAAACCGATCCGATATTGATTAAATCTAACATGACGATAAACGAGTTACACCAGAGCTACCACATCAGAATGACCATGCAGTTAAGTAGCCAAGCCATATTTCTTACCGGCTGTGCTCCTTGAGTACCCCTTTGTTCTATGTTTTTAATATATGTATTTTAATGGTCTTGTGTTTTAACTATGTTGTACCTTGCCTTTGGCTGTGAGAAGAGGCAGATAGCAAATAAGAAGAAAAAGATGATGATCATTATATCACATACTCAATGAAAATAATTTATATAGCAGTAGTAGCATTAGGAGAAGAGGACATTTCTTTCTAGGATATGTCAAAGAATTTCTCTTATAGGAGGAAAAACTAAAACTGTGTATCATCTTACTATCTGTGGAAGACAATTTCACAGCAACTCCAAGTAATTTTCCAAATTCATGAAATAGGTGGGGCTTGCCATATGCTTTTGCTTGCTCAATGGAAAATTTGCTTGATGGATGCAGCACGGTCAAAATACAGTACCTTAGCTTTGAGAAACTTCCTTGTCTGCCGATGGGCCCGGGCGCTTTCCGTCAGCAAGTTCAGCACAGGAGTCAGGCTTTCTTTAAGCTTATGACCCTGTGAAAGAGGCCAAATGAAGCATTAAGCCCTTGTTCTCTTATGCACAAATCTAATACAGGTACATACTCATAGAACTAACTATTTTTATAAAATGCAAACCAAATATTCTAGTCCCAGAGCTCTGACATTGTTAAGATATTGGCGAGCCAGCCATTGGGAAAATTAAATTGAGGATGCTAGGCAAGATAGACAGGTTTCATTTTAATCTTATGTAAAGCTTTACTCAAAGACATATGAAGAACTTCTCCAAAAGGGTATATCTGTATGAAGTTCCACCTTTCTCTCTCTCTTTTGTGTATGTGTGAGGAGCCACTTGAGAAACCGCAAGTAGCTTCTGGTGTGAGAGAATTGATAGTCTGCAAGGACATTACACAGGCGATGCCCAGATGTTTGATGTTTTACCATCCTTGTAGGAGGTTTCTCTTGCATGGGGAGCTGGAGCTGACAGGGAGCTCATCCCGCTCTCCCTAGATTCGAATCACTGACCTCTCGGTCAGCAGTCCTGCCGGCACAAAGGTTTAACCCATTATGCTACCAGGGGCTCCACTTCTCTCTGTAACTCTAGATTAGTAGGCAAAGTCTAGTTTGCAGGCTGCATGCAGCCCTCCAAGCCATTTTTAACAGATCCTCAGTACTTCTAAGAATTTTATTTCTGAAACAATTGATAGCACTAAATGCAATATGGACTAAGTGCACATCTGTCAATATTGTAGCAAATCCTAGTTCCTCTTAATTCAGTATTAATAATTAAGATAATTTTCAGTACCATCTGTTGTTGTAATATGCCTTCAAATGTGTTTTAAACCTATCTGATGTTTGTGTTTTATTGACACTGAATGTTTGCCTTTTTATTGGAAACCGCCCTGAGTTCCCCAAGGGAGATAGGGTGGGGTATTATTACAAGCCATCCCCTGCCATGCGTTGCTGTGGCCCAGTCTGTGTATATGTGTTTTATGTGTGTATATTTGTGTATATGTGTATATATGTGGTTTTGTGCATGCATTGTAATGTATTTTTTTTTGGGGGGGGGAGGCTTTTAAAGTCTCTTCCTCTGTGTTTTTCAGTGTTTTTATGAGTGACTAGCTGTGCCCTGCCACGCGTTGCTGTGGCCTATAGTTAAACTTATCAAAGTTGAGGTAGATATCTGGACTATTATGAAAGAGAGGTACCTACCTATTCCTTCCCCCTTTTCCTCCCCCTTTCTCTCCTTTCTTCCTTCTCTACCTCTTTCTTTCTTTCCTTCTTTCACTACTTGGTTTCATCCTTCTCTCTTTCCTTCATTCCCTCCCCCTTTCTTCCTTTGCCTTTCTTCCCTCCCTGTTTGCTTCCTTCTTTCACTTTTTATTTCCTTTTATTTCACCACCATCATAACAATAACAATAATGCAATGCATTGCCTCTGGGACCTGACACCTCTCCCATTCCCCCTAAAAGGGTCTCATAGGAATAATAGCATCATAATAATAATAATAGAAATAACAACCTTTACCCGCCATGCGTTACTGTGGCCAACCTTCCCTCTTTCTCTCCTTCTCTCCTTCCTTCCTTCCTTCCTTCCTTCCTTCCTTCCTTCCTTCCCTTCCTTCCTTCCTTCCTTCCTTCCCTCCCTCACTCCTCCTCCTCCCCTCTCCTCCCTCCTTCCTCCTCCCTCCTCTTTCCCCTTCTCCTCTTCCTTCTCTCCTTCCTTCCTTCCCCCTTTTTCTTCTCTTCTGGTCTCTTTTCTTCCTTCTCTCTTTCCTTCTTTCCTTCACTCCCTTTCTCTCATCTCCCCCTTCCTTCCTTCTCTCTTCCTTCTTCCCCTTCTTTCTCTATCTCTTTCCTTCCTTCCCCCTTTTTCTTTCTCTTCTGCTGTCTCTTTTCTTCCTTCTCTCTTTCCTTCTTTCCTTCCCTCCCTCTTTCTCTACATCTTCCCCCCTTCCTTCACTCCCTCTTTCCTTCCTTCTTCCTTTTTTCTTCTCTCCTTCCTTCCTTCCCTTTTTCTTTCTCTTCTGGTCTCTTTTCTTCCTTCTCTCTTTCCTTCTTTCCTTCCCTCCCTCTTTCTCTACATCTTCGCCCTTCCTTCACTCCCTCTTTCCTTCCTTCATTCCCTTTTTTCTTTCCTTCTCTCCTTCCCCCTTTTTCTTTCCCTCCCTCTGTCTCTCATTTCTTCCTTCTCTACCTCTTTCCTTCCTTCCCCCTTTTTCTTTCTCTTCTTCTGTCTCTCTTTTCTTTCCTTCCTTTTTCTTTCCTTTTCTTCTTCCTTCTTTCTCTAACTTTCCTTCCTTCCCCCTTTTTCTTTACCTCCCTTTCTCTTTCTTCCTTCTTTCCTTCCTTCCTTTCTTTTCTAGATTTTGACAGGGCGGGAAGGGGCGGGGTGGAGTTTGGAGGTGGCGTGAAGTAAAAGGAGGTAAGATTGGGGCAGGGGAGTGATGGAGCGTGGGGTTGTGTGTGTGTGTGCAGTGGGCGGGGGAGTGATGGAGCGTGGGGTTGCGTGTGTGTGTGTGCGGCGGTGGGGGGAGTGATGGAGCGTGGGGTTGTGTATGTGTGTGTGGCGGCGGGGGGAGTGATGGAGCGTGGGGTTGCGTGTGTGTGTGCGGCGGGGGGAGTGGGGTTGCGTGTGTGTGTGCGGCGGCGGCGGGGGGAGTGATGGAGTGGGGTTGCGTGTGTGTGTGCGGCGGGCGGGGGGAGTGATGGAGCGTGGGGTTGTGTGTGTGTGTGCGGCGGGGGGAGTGATGGAGCGTGGGGTTGCGTGTGTGTGTGCGGTGGCGGGGGGAGTGATGGAACGTGGGGTTGCGTGTGTGTGTGCGGCGGCGGGGGGAGTGATGGAGCGTGGGGTTGCATGTGTGTGTGCGGCAGGGGGGGAGTGATGGAGCGTGGGGTTGTGTGTGTGCGTGCGGCAGGGGGTGTGTGTGCGGGAAGCGGCGCGGCGGGGCTTGGAGTGGGCATGGCTTCCGCAGAGGGAACGTTGGCCGGAAGGCTGTGTGCGCGCGCCAGGGAACTTGCGGCTGGGCGCCAATGCGCATGCTCAGTTGTTTTGCCGTTTTGTGAGTGTGTTGTTGTGTTGTTTTTCATTTTGAGTAGATATGTTTGTACCTTGTGGGTTGTGTTATGGGCATGGGAATTTTGGTTAAGTTTTGTTTTTAAGTCTCTTCTGCTGTGTTTTTCAGTGTTTTTATGAGTGATGGTCAATTGTTGGCCTGATAGGAGTATTGTGTCCAAATTTGGTGTCAATTCGTCCAGTGGTTTTTGAGTTATGTTAATCCCACAAATAAAACATTACATTTTTATTTATATAGATGATGATGATGATGATGATGATGATTATTCAACTTTGAATTCGTGGGAGACCTGTCCTAGGATTTTCTTTTGTTCAGAGAGGATTAACCACTGCCTTTCGCTGAAGCTGAGAAAGAGTGACTTTCCCAAGGATCTAGGAATCTCTTGGTCCTCCAGTATGACTCCATGATCAACTTCCGGCAGAAGCTAACCATAGAGCCACACTAGAAAACCTAGAAATTTCTAGAGATAACATTTTAAACAAATCTGCGAATAACCAAATCTGCAAATTTCAAATCCGCAAATGTGGAGGACCAGCTGTATTCTGTCTGATAACTTTCTAAGCAGCCTTGAGCAATTCTTTTAGTCAACTTCTGTTCTGGGGACTTTGCAGAATCCTATTGTCACTCTCAAGACTCCAAAAGGAAAGAGGAAAGCTAAGAACACACTTGGCTATGGGAAAAACAAATGAGTGTGTCAATGGAGAAAAACTAGGGACCAGATAGTTATGCAGGAATGTAGGCTGAAAGACAAAGAGCTGATCTGCCCATTTTTAAAATGTCACCTTCCTGTCTCAAAAAAAGAGAAGCAAAAAGTGTTTAACATTTCAATGAGTTATTTAATCAAATCCAAGCCTATCAAATGTCTCAACAACCAATCAAACAGTTAATTTTTTAATCACTCAAATCATTCATCTGATCACAAAATGTTCTCTATTCCCCATGTGAATCACCTCTCATCCTACTCATAACATCACATAACATCCTTTAGCATATGGTGTTGCTGCCTCTTCACTACCGCTGTTTATTGCTATTATCACAGCTTTCTGAGAGAGCAATAAGTTACAGAGAGACCTATAATGAACACAGAATGATCAAGTCACAACATCTGATCAGGATCCCAAAAGTTGTCTAACTCTGAGCAAAGATGAGCGCAGGTGCTATTGAAATTAAAAACCATTATTGATCAATTGGAAATTCTGAAAGCTATCTGTTTCACGCACCCTGTCAAGACGTCGGTCAAGGAAATCCAGGAGAACATTGACGGCATCCATGTTGACTCCCATGTACTCAAGTGAGCCTGGATGTACCTTCGGGGCCAGCAAGACATCCAGACATTTGAGAGGCAGGTTGCCCAAGAGGTTGACTGTGTGACTGAGCAGAACAACGCAAGACAAAGCAAAGAATAATTATCAGAATTACACAGAAAGGGCGTATTTTCTCAGACTTACCAAGTATCCAGTAATTTTCTAGTTCTAACAAAATGAGAACAAGTCCCTAAACTGTTCTTTCCTGGCATTGTGATTGTGACTTAAACACTATTCAGACCATCTAATAACAGTGTATTGTTCAGTGTTCCATTTTCCATCTTTTTTTCTTCTGTTGTTTGCCCCGTGTCCATTTTTAGATTTGAAAAACAGACACTTCGCTCATTTCTGTCAGACTTATTGTTTGAGAAGTGCCACATATATAGAAAATTATTTTTATCTTTTATCTTTTAAAAACTTTGTATTAAGTCAAGCCCATCATCATATGTAACCGACTGCAAACTCCACACAAACTGTGTAATTCATAACGATTTTTCATGTTCAAGTAACTTTAACAGTGGCACTCTAAAAATGTCTCTTTTAGAAAGATAATTACTTGTGTGTGTGTATGTGTGTGTATTTTTGTAGTTATATATATATATATATATATATTCTCTTCTCTTTTTTCTCTCTTCCTCACTTTGTTGTTCTCACTCTTTTGCTGTATCTTATATAAAATTTATTTAAAAAAAGAAAAGAAAAGAAAGATAATTACTAGTCTCGTGCATTTGTATAGGATTGTTATCTGTTTCTGTTTGTTTAATTTATATGGCCCTGTTTTCATTTTCAAGCACCGCTTCTGAAAGCGGTGCCTTTCCAAATGAGCTTTTTTGTCCCACAACTGAAAAAAACAAATATTTTCGTCCCATTGGAAACAATGGGCGGGCAATCCTATACAAATGCTCCCCTTCCCCATAGTTTTAGTACTCCTCCTGTTTCCCACTTCAATTGGGAAACTTACCTTGCACCACTACCGCTGAGGTCTCTTCATCGGAGATCCTTGGTGCGGGGCTGGCAGCTTGTCGGTTGCCAGGGTTTGCCCTCCACCGCTCAGCAACCATGCAGGCCCAGAAAGGCCCTGGCAGGCCTGCATGCTTTGGGCCAATGCTTGGGGGCCTGCAGCCAAGTGCTGAGTAAGGAGAACTCCTTATCAGTTGCCGGGGCTTGCCATCTACCACTCAGCAACCGTGCAGGCCCAGGAAGACCCGCACACTTTGGGCCTACGTGTGCGGGCCTGCAGCCGAGCACAGAATAAGCAGTGCTCCTTACCCAGCACTTGGCTGCAGGCCCGCGCATGTAGGCCCAAAGCACCAGGGCCTTTCTGGGCCTGCACGGTTGCCGAGCAGTGGAGACCAAGGCCTGGCAACCGGCAAGCTGCCAGCCCTGTGCCAAGGATCTCTGACGAAGAGACCTCAGCATAATCTCTCTTTTCTCTATAACTATAATGCTGAAAAGCAGGCTTGGAGCCAGTACCGGCTACTGGCTGCTTTTCATATCGAGTTTATTTTAGTTCCAGGAGGGGTCTTTCGTATCATGCCATCCAAATGGGCATAACGAAACGGAAACATGAATTAAACGGATGATACAGATAGCAGGCCCATGACTAATAATTACCTGTGAAATTCTTCTGTCCTGTCCTCCCCATCTGCTGAAATCATCAGGCAATGACGTAGGAGGGCACCGAGGTGTCGGTATAGAGCTGCGTCTTCCTGGCCCCAAAACATAATGAAAGAGATGGATTATGCAACTGAAACACACAACTCTTTTGCACAGTTTGTTGGGTACAACGAATGAGGTATACTCACATGACTCAAAAGAGAATGTGTTTCTGGACATTTGGCTCAATAAAAAATTCAAATAAGAAACCTCAGAATCGCCATCATTGAGATACTATGCCACAGAATGCAAATCTCTGCACAGAATTTAAAGGTCCTGCCCACCCCCTTTGTGAAAAACATGCAAGCACAGCAACAAAACATCTGAATGGATTAGTTGGAGACAGGTGATTTCTTTTACCTTGTCCTTTCCGTCTGTCTCTATCATATATCAAACTCAACAAAAATGCAACATTAAAGCTAGATAGCAAAAAGACTAATTTTCAACACAGATTCCAACCTGTTTATGCAAAAATCGAAGTCTTAATCATAAAAAATAAAACAAAATGCAAATAATGAAAACCCTCTCTAGCAAGTTCTTAACTCTCAAGTGACTCTATGCTATACTTTACCCTCTTTCACCTATAAATCTTCCATAGCAATTAATTGTTTATTCACAACGTGAAAGCAATTGCAGTTTCTTATGATGCACAGATTTGTTTTTTGTTTTCATGTCAGGAGCAACTTGAGAAACTGCAAGTCATTTCTGGTGTGAGAGAACTGGCCATTGCCCAGGAGTTGCCCGGATGTTTTGTAAGCCGTCCCGAGTTCCTTTGAGGAGATGGAGGCGGGGTATAAAAATAAAGTTATTATATATTATTGTATTATGTTTTACCATCCTGTGGGAGGCTTCTCTCATGTCCCTGCATGAGAAGCTGGAGCTGACAGATGGGAGCTCACCCTGGATTCGAACCACCGACCGTTCGGTCAGCAGTCCTGCCAGCACAAGGGTTTAACCCATTGCACCTCAAGGGCTCCTATGATGTACAGTAAGACCCCTATATTCATAGGGAATTCATGCCTAGTCTTTGCATGGATATGTGATACTGCAGATAATAGCACTCTATTGAAATGAAACCCTTCCAGCCAAAGAATACCATAGAGTTGCACTAGAAAATTCCTGGAGAGGACCTATTTTGTCAGATATAGAGCAATGAAATCGTAGTTACAGGTCCCACATTATAATCCACATAATCAATTGTTATGCTCTCCATTCAATTACTAAAATAGGTACAAAAGGGACCTTATCCAAACTGTGGCTACACATATATTTAACAAGCATTTAATTGTCCTTTCCCTTGCAGCTTTTTTTTCGTGCCAGGAGCAACTTGAGAAACTGCAAGTTGCTTCTGGTGTGAGAGAATTGGTCGTCTGCAAGGACGTTGCTCAGGGGGTGCCTGGATGTTTTGGTATTTTACCAGCTTCTCTCATGTCCCCGCATGGGGAGCTGGAGATGACAGAGGGAGCTCATCCGCGCGCTCTCCGGATTCGAACCTGCGACTTGTTGGTCTTCAGTCTTTCCAGCACAAGCCTTTAACCCACTGCACCACCGGGGGCTCCTCCCTTGCAGCTATATACTACTGATAAACACATTCCACCAGATTGTAACATATTGAAGTTTACCACTTTTTAGAGTGGGTTTGGCAATCTGTTTCTCTTCCCCAGATGTCGTTCATCAGCTCTAAAGAGAATCTAGTTCAAACTATTTAAAGGGCACTGGCTGCCCCCCATCTTAGAGCAAAAGAAGCAAATGTGTTGCCACACAATTTTAGAAATAGAGACGTTGTTACCAGTGAGTCATTCTCTTCTGTTGTTAAAACAGATTTGTGCCTTTGTGTACCTAACAAACATGTTTATGAGTCAGTCAATGCAGGAAAGTGGTGGGTTGACGAAGTATATAAGCACCCTCACAGAATATATCCAAAGGAATCAAAGCTAAAAGGAAGCAAGGGTGCCTTACCTCATCCACTTCCCTCTTGTTGGTATCAAAGGTGATATTGAAGAGCACCTTCAGGATCTCCATGGCACGCTCAGCCTCCTGCCGAGGTAAAGGCAGGGAAGGGTTCTCCACAGCAGTGACCTCATGAGGGTCGATCCACTTGACCCCCAGGGTAAGCTCCAGGGTATCTGCCATCAGACTGATCCCTCGGAGCTCCTGCGCAAGCTGCTGCCGGATGTCCAGCCTGAGTGCCGTCAGCAAGAAGAGAAGACGCAAGTCAAAAAATTGGATATCGTGGGGGAAGTTTCTCTCATTATAAAGTTTGATGCGGTCTGTGAGCCCCACCACTATCTGGGCCTCAGAGGACCGTTCCTGTGCATCTCGGCTGCTGAAGACAATGTTGCAGAGGCATTTAAGGGCCTCCAGGATCACATCCAGGTCTGGGACTTCTACAATACGCTCCTCTGTGTAATCAATTCCAGCATGTCTGGCGAGGGTCTTCAAGCCTTCCAAAGTGGCAAAAGGTTGAAGGCAGGTTTTATCCCGGGACAGGATCCGGATGCTTTCTAAACATACAACCTGGCAGGATGGCTGCAGCTCCCTCTCCAAGAACTTGATCAGGAGCAGGGCCATTTTCTACAACATGAGAAGGCAAAAATAGGAAGTATAAGAAATCTAATAAACAAAGCAATATGCTTCCATGTGAGAAAAGATTAATCTATAACTTTATTGGTGGGCTGAAGCCCTTCAGTGAAATTCATTATGCTTCATATGATCAAAATCCACCTTTTGTCAGCCACACATTCACTTGTGGATAGCGATAATATGAAGCATAATTTCCAAAATCTGAAGGGGGAATAGAAAATTAGAGGACAGGAAGTGGCACTCTGAACTGTAACACTTCACTGCAAGTCCCACTAGTTTTGACCAACATCTCATTTACTTTCGTTCATTTGGGGCAAACTGACCATGTAGATAAAAATCCAGGTGTGAAATTCTAAACTTAAGTGATAAAATAATCCACTATTACAGTTAAGGGGTAGGAGTGGCAATTTACATTACCAGCCCAAGTTTATGTATTATTTATTTATTTACTTCATTTGTATATTGCTTTTCTCAACCCGGTTTCCAACATATATACGGCAAAATTCAGTGCCTCACATACATAAAAACCTAACATAACACAATAATAATTTTAAGTATAAGATTAAACTAATCTGCTTTACCAGGCCTAAAACAAGAAAGTTGATTGACTGAACTACAATTCCCAAAATTGTGGGTCTTCCCCTGCCCCGCCCCCCAAACCCCACCGGTATTCAATGCTGGCTGTGTTGGGTATGCATGCCAAGATTGGTCCAGATCTGTCATCGGATGGGTTGACAGGGCTCTCTGAGTGTAGGTGAACTACAACTCCCATACATAAGATACATACAAATAAACAAACTTTTATTATATACTGTAGATGGATGATGATGATGATTGTTATTATTATTATAGTTCATGAAAAATCTATAATTAAAACTGCCTTATTACATGGAAAGTAGTTAAGGTAAAGATAAAGGTTTTCCTAGAGTTAGACAGTCATGTCTAATTCTGGGGGTTGTTGCTCATCTCCATTTCTAAGCCGAAGAACTGGCAATGCCTGTAGTCAACTCCAAGGTCATGTGGCCAGCATGACTGTATGGAGTGCCGTTACCTTCCCGCCAAAGCGGTACCTATTGATCTATCTACTCACATTTGCATGTTTTCAAACTTTTAGGTTGGCAAAAGCTGAGCCTAACAGTGGGAGTTCACTCCACTCCCTGGATTTGAACTGCCAACCTTTCAGTCAGCAAGTTCAGCAGCTCAGTGGTTTAATCTACTGCACCACAGGGGGCACTAGAAAGTAGTTATATATCCAAAATAAATAAGCTTTTCAATAACTAATTATAATATTTAAACTTCTATTAACACAATTTTTTCTATAATGGCTGGTTAACTCGGCTAGGGATACATTTTGGTAAGCACATGTCAGTAGATCTGTAGTATCAAAGGATCACAAACTCCATTGATTTACAGGGCTTACGGTAGCTCACTGTAATTGGCTTTAGTGCTACTGCCTAATGACAAAGCTAAATCCTCTTATTATTGTTATTTCTCTGATGGCAGGCCTCTATCACATCATCCTCAAGTACACAATTTGCTATCAATGACCTCTTCCTACATTTTGTCTCGCTTTCCCTAGAACATTTACACAGATCTTGGGAGCTACTCATGGAAGTTAGGAGGCATGACGTAACACTTATGTAAACTTTATCAGTTACACAAGTAACAACTTCAGAAGTGATGATCTTAGATTATTTCCATATACACATCAATTCTCCAAAACAAATACATAAATTAAAGTCCAATCTTCAGTCAAAGATGCCCTGGCTGTAAGGGTTTAAGGATTAGATACAAAGCCTCTTCTCTTGAAGGAAATCCTCTTCTCCTGGCAGAACCTTATTGTGCTGGATGATCTCAAGAGATCTGCTGACAAAGCAGTCAGCCAGTAGCACTACTCTCCTGGTTAAGGTCTATCAATCAATCAATCAATCAGATGGGGAGGAAAAAAGTGGGAGTGATAGACTATAGCCCAGGCATGGGCAAACTTTGACCCTTCAGGTGCTTTGGACTTCAACTCCCACAATTCCTAACAGCCTATCAGAGCTCCTATTGGCTGTTAGGAATTTTTGGAGTTAGAAGTCCAAAACACCAGGAGGGCCAAAGTTAGCCCATGCCTGCTGTAGCCTCTTCTGGTGATGTGGTTGCAAATCTGCTACAAATTGGATCTAGAGGAAAGGCTTCCTAAGTAATTTCCAACATCCCTGCTGCTCAGCTACTTAAACTGACAGTAGCATTCCCAAGTTTAGGAAGAGTGCCTATATGTAAACGTGGAGCAGAACTGACAGCTACATATGCTGCCCTATTGTTCCCCTGGCATCCGCCTCCTCTTTCCAGCTGCAGAGCAAAATTAGAATCCTTGTTTCAGCTGCAGAAAAAGAAACAGAGGTTGGATAAAGGAACAGTAATGCACCAGAATAAAAGGTGCCACAACTGGATCCAGATGTTTCAGGTATTTATCTGTATGATATATAAGAGAAAAACTGGCCATTTCTAATCTAGAATCAAGATGTTTAGACAAAGTAAAAATACTCAAGACAATAGCACTTAATTCATGGAACCTTTGCTGAAGATACTGCAACAGCCAGAAGTATAAACAGATGATGAATACCCAAATGAAAATGGCTGCAATTAGAGGCTACCAACCAGAGAAGCCAAAGAAAACAACAAACCCATGCTCGCCCATAATTACCACTGATCACCATGCCTGGTCTATGAATGTTGCCAAGACGTCTACGTGATCACAACTGATAATTCAAATAGCAAAGGTTTTGATGGTCTGGACTATATGAAGATTTTCTGAGAATAAATGAAGATGACCTAGCTCTGTAACAGTATATTTGCACCATAGGGAGAGAGAAAAGATATGAAATTCAGTCCTCCTGTGTGGAGTAATGGCTTGAGTATTGGACTATGACTCTGAAAACCAAAGTTTGAATATGCACACAGCCATGAAAACCCACTGGGTGACCTTGGGCAGGTCCCACAGAAGCCTGTGAGAGGGCTTGCCTTACTGTTACCATAAATCAGAAACAACTCAAAAGCACACAACAATAGCAATATTCTCCAATTACAAAGGCTACCAAATAGCAAAGCAAGGGCAAAGGATCTCCATCAGACATCTTGAGAGCCATAGTAATTGGGAGTAAATAATACTGAGCTCCATGGACCAACAATTGCACTCACCTGTATAAGGCAACGGTATGATATCCATAGAGGAAAATTATAACAAGAAATGTTTCTGAACTGAAACAGATGTTTGATGTTGGGATAACAATACATATTGCATTTCTTACCCAATACTTTTCTCTATAATTGATTCAATACCACTAAGTGAATCTCACCCTCACTCTAGCTGTTGCCACTTTAACTTTGCAAAAGGCTCAATCACATATTATGTTAAGTACCTTTTAAAACCAACCACACTCAAAATGGGGTTTTTTGAATGCTCAAAATCGCAATCTTGGCTTGGAAGGAAAATCTGTTACACAAAGTCAAGGCATTGTTGTTTATCCCTTCTTCCTAGTCAGTGTCTACAAGGAAGTTATAATTATCAGCATCCCTGTTCCTGACTGATGAACCAAAATAAGAGTAAACTTACCTTCCTTTCTTCTTGTTCCTCATCTTCAAAGATGAAACACTGTGATTTCTGGGAAAGCAAAGCACAAGACTGAAACAAACTAAGAAAATAAATATGTTTTAAATGTACAGAAAATTTTGAAAAGAGCAATGATGATTACAAGTTTTTTTCTTAACACCCAGCCAGCAGAGATGCACTAGGAAATACTCTCTGAAAACTGCGGTCAGGCACACAAGTTAAAAAATAGAAAAGGTTTCTCATGCTGACAACTTCAAAACAGGTTAGTCACTGTTGGACCATTATAAGGCCATGGTATGAGGCTACTATAACTGGCCAGTTTCTAAAGGAAACAAGTAGCCATAATGGAAAAATCATGTGCACACAGAGCTGAGTTTGTTTTTATAATAAGATGAACTTAAGCAGTGGGTTGATTTTTAGTGGAAAACTGTCAAGAGGTGGGGATGTAACACCTTCTCTCCCACACTATGCAATGTAATGTAAATTAAACTCCACAGTATTTTAAGTAAAAGAAAAAGATATTGGGAGTGCCAATCACAAATCTCCCACATAATGCCCAACTAGGCTCATAAGCCTTGGTGTTGACAGCATAAATGGATGACCACTTCCAGCAGATCCAAGTGTGTGTTAAAACCAGTGGTCCTCAGATATTTTAAGCAGAGGGCCAGTTCACAGACCCTCAGACAGTTGGGCAGCTGGACTATTGTTTGAAGAAGAAAAACCAGAAACGAATTTATATGCACACTGAACACATCTTATTTGTAGAACAAAAAATAATGAAAGAACAATACAATATTTAAAATGAAAAACAAATTTAACCAACATAAATGTACCAATATTTTAACGGGAAGCATGAAACTGCTTTTGGCTGATGAAATAGTTAAGTTATTTAGGCTCATTGTCATTGTGTGCCTTCAAGTCGCTTCAAACTTAGGGCAACCCTAAGTCTAATGTTTAGAGTGGGGGCCATGTAAATAACCTTGGAGCGCCACATATGGCCCACGGGCCTTAGTTTGAGGACCCCTGGTTTAAACCCTAATCTCTATGAAATCTTGGAGCTCAGCTATAATGGGGAGAAACAGCCGTATCCTCTTGCATCTTCTAAAACTTGCTCTGGTGAAAGAAGCTTTATCATTCAGAAAAGATAACCTCCTCTTCTTCTCAAAATATGGTCCAGATGGATGCAACACTCCACAATATTTAATAATATTTTAATCATTTTGAGTCTTCAGGATTCCTCATATGTGTGATCTTTATTCCAATCCTTTAAGACAGTGGTTCTCAACCTGTGGGCCCCCAGATGTTTTCGCCTTCAACTTCCAGAAATCCTAACAGCTGGTACACTGGCTGAGATTTCTGGGAGTTGAAGGCCAAAACACCTGGGGACCCACAGGTTGAGAACCACTGCTTTAAGACAAGTATTATTATCCCACATATGACAGATTGGGGAGGCTACAGGTTGAGAAGGAATAGGAAGCTTGCGTAGAACTATCCAAGAAATTTATGTTAGGGGAAGGATTCATATTTGCTGTAAAATCCTAAACATATTGCAGAGTATTCTGGTATAAATACTAGGTAGCCCCATAAGTCTGTTTGGCTTCACAATTGCCTCATGGACTCAGCACGCAGCCTAGAATACGTTTCATTTTTACAACTACATATTATACTGTAGTGGAAAATCAGTAATATAGGAACACATAACCCTCTTTACTGATCTTCCCAATCAATTCTTTGGTTCTCATCCCATCCTCACCTCCTTCTACCCCTCATGGATCCACTATGATCTATGTTGGTGGCTCTGGTGAATTTCAGAGTACAAAACAAATAACCAAAACAATTCCTTGATAAGCTTCCAAGGGATCAACAACTCTTGTATGGCACTGTTTGAAAAGCCACTGCCCTATACACAGTCACAACTCAGCACCTGAAATGGTGGGCCACCTGGTCAGAGATATCCTTTTCATATATTTATGTTTAGATTATTATATTTTGATGAGATGTGTTTTATTATTTACCTGTGTGGCATTGAATTTTTGCTGGATTTGTAAGACGCCTTGAGTCCCCTCCGGGGTCAAGAGAGGCGAGGTAGAAATTAAGTAAATAAATAAATACATTTAAAGCTTGACATGAGATACTACAATCAGCCCTCCACATTTGTTGGTTTGACTTTTGCGTGTTTGATTATTCAAACATCTGATTAAAATGTTCTCTCTAGAGATTTCTGGGTCCTCCATGCAGCTCTACAGTCAATGTTCACTAGAAGATGACCAGAGTCATGCTGGAGGACACAGAAAATCCTATAAAGATGTTCTCTCAGATAAAATAGCATTTTTGTTTGCGTTTTTTCACTTTTGTAGATTTTCTGTGTCTCTGGACTTATTGGATAAATAAATAGGCCATACAGCCTGCACTTGAGAAGCATCTGAATTCCTGTACAAAACCCCTGGAATTCTGTAAAGAATTTTTATTAATAGAATTATATTGTCTTTTCCATTATGAAACAAATAAATAAAAATACAAACTAAAGGACGTCCTTCTACCTGTCACCCTAAAATTGCTACTATCTTAATAGATTTTAATCTGGAGCATATCAAAGTACATTTTATGTCAGTATGAGGGAAGGTTTCTATTATTTCATTCACACAACTGTAAGACAACAACATATAACAACTTATTAAGGAATCATGCTGATAAATACAGCAGATAAACAGCTAGAATATATTATGCACCTTATCGTTTGCTAAGATAGTGAGTGAGGAAGATACCATGATTGGTTTATACTTCCTGAGTAGACATCCTGATTAGGATATGACAAATCTTTTGGCTCCATGAAAGGCTTTCCTTGTTTACTAAGGAATTACTGTATATGCTGCAAGAGATTCTGAAGTATATTTCAAGGCAGTTCAAATAGTTCACTGCCTAGGCTTAGTGGTCCAATATGAATAAATAAGTTAAGAATATGCATCCAAACAACTTTGCCCTGACCTATAACTGCATATTCCATGGAATATTTAGAAGTGATGGAAACCATCTTTCAGGGAAGTTTCTCTATTATTACTGATCTGCCAATTGAGAAAGATTTTAAGTATATGTCCAGGCTTTCCCATCCTGCTTTGCAGTTTGTAAACCTTTCTTTTTCAGGCAATATCTAAGTTTGCATTCCATAACCTACAGGTTGCAAGCTTTTCTGTATTTACAGAACATTTCTGTATTCTCTTTCCACATGGAAAGAAAGTCCTGAATAATTTATGAACATTTTATCTTTAAATGCTTTTTTCTGTTCTGCACAAGAAACAACAAAAAGAAGGGATAATTATTGCATGTAGTCTAAGAACAATACTCATATCTATAAAGTAATTATGGAGAAACACTAAAGACTGGTCCCCTTATTAACAAAGTTCTTAATTTGCTTTGTAAATGCCTAGGTTGGATGGCATACCTACCCACACGATGATCTTACCTATCTGCCTTCATACATATATAATAAAATATCCCATATTATGTAAAATAATTTCCTGTAGTTCTAAAAATGTAGATGAATTAATATTTCATCCAAACTAGCCTTTCTGTGCTTACTATACCTGAAACTTTCACTGAGGGCCCTTCCACACAGCCCTATATTCCAGAATATCAAGGCAGGAAATCCCACATTATCTGAGTGTGGGCTCAGATAACCCAGTTCAAAGCAGTTATTGTAGGATTTTCTGCCTTGATATTCTGGGATATAGAGCTGTGTGGAAGGGTCCTGAGGCCCCTTCTAAACAGCCGAATAAAATCCCACATTATCTGCTTTGAACTGGGATATATGGCAGTGTGGATTCAGATAACCCAGGCCCCTTCTACACAGCCATATAACCCAGAATATCAAGGCAGAAAATCCCACAATATCTACTTTGAACTGGGTTATCTGAGTCCACACTGCCATATATTCCAGTTCGGAAAATGCAGGATTTTATTAAGCTGTGTGGAAGGGGCCCCAATTCAAAGCAGATATTGTGGGTTATTCAGCCTTGATATTCTGGGTGATATGGCTGTGTGGAAGGGCCCTGAGTTTAAACTCTCCCTTGTTATTCAAAACAGAAGATTTGGGTAATAAAATATGTATTTTGCATAAAGACAAAAGTGCAATCCCCAGAGCCTATAACAAAAATGTGGACTTCTGGTTCAGGGTTCAGACTGTTGTTATCAGTTGGGTGAGATCATATTAAAATTATTTGAAATTAGATGCCCCACAAGAAATTTCCTCCATGTACAACATCTCCTGGGACCACATGTTTGTTAGTATCACACATCTGCTCACCATATAAAACTCCTCCTTTCCCTTCTGCTGTCTGAAATCAGTCTTCATGGCTAATTTCGCCTGTAATATTTTATCAGTTGAAACAGCACAACCATTAGATATTTGCATCTAATTTTCAGCAAGAAAGGGAAAAGGAGCAGGCATAAATAGTAACACACACACACACACAAAAGGCCTACTATTCTCTTGGCAAAAACAGAACCTTGCTTCTAGAGGTTAACAACATTTGATGGAAGGAAAACACGGACAGATGAAACTGAAAGGAGTGGGCCAAAAGGGCAGAACCAGAATACCTGCCGGATGTGGGTTCTCTGACAGGCCCATTGCAGGGACGTCCAGCAAACTGCTCTCAAGGGACACTCACCTCCTGGTTGTAGATCTGTAGCACCTTGAGGACTGTATCTTGCTCCCCATTTTCTATTGTCTCCAGCACAGCCTGGACTGCCATTGCTCCAGAGAATGGCGGTGGTCCGAAACACGAGAGAGCCTGGCAAGGGGGCTTTGTAGTCCAGCTGGGTAATTATAGGAACACAGAGGGTTTGTCACCAAGCAGCTGAGCAGGAAGGAAAAACAGGCAAACCAGTGAGGCTGCAGGCTCTGGCACACCAAAGCACAGAACAGATGGATGTTTCTAGTAAAGCCAGCCAGGAGCTCCTTCTCCCTCTCGCTCACACACACACTAATCCTCTCTGAGCTTTTTAGCATTTAATAAATGCCCTCCCGGCAAAGCACCTAGCAAACCCTCCCTCTCCCCCGAGTCTGAGGATTACCTCCAAACAGATTATGGACATGCTGCAGCTCCCTCAAATAGCCTCTCCTCTCCTCTGTCCTGATTTTTACCACTGCACAGAAACACCTAGAAATGCCCAGAGAGCTCAAAACATGACATGCACAAAACAGGCAAACATGTACATTGAGGCTCTGTTGAATGCAGCGATAAATGCTTTTTGAGACAGAAAAGAGGCAAAAGGGGGAGGTAATTGCACCATTCAAGTGTGGCTACAAGTCTAAATTTATCAGAAGGACATACATCTCAGATCCACATATCTGTACCTGTTTACACAACACTGGGAGGAGACCATTTTGGTCACCTCTAGCCCTGAATTTAGCTAATGTTATTATTTTGTCCCCTACACTACAACATTAAAACATGTGATGTTTATTCAAAATATGTCACCACAAAGCTATCAGTAGGCAGCTGTTCAAAACAGGGGGGATGTTTCTTTCCCTCTAGTAGCCAGCGTAATCATCACATATTTCATGATAAATGATGAAATCTAGGGTTACAGGAATGGGGAACTAACAAACTGAAAGCACACAGACTAGAAAAAGGTAATTCAAAAGTCCATCCTTGACTCAGTCCACACCTGGCCACTTGCCCTTATAATTTAGAGCATTCCCTATATAGAACTGCCTTGGCCTTTGTAACTGGGAAAGGCTTGAACACAATACACATTCTCCTAGACTTCCAAGCTGTGCACAAGACAAAATATATTAAAACATGGTAACATTTCCAAAATACTTCTACTAAGAGACAATTCTAACTTTATAGAGTGCTTGCCCTTTGCACTTTACATAGATAGGTAAAGGTAAAGGTTTCCCCTGACATTAAGTCTAGTCTTGACCAATTCTGGGGGGTGGTGCTCATCTCCATTTCTATGCCAATGAGCCGGCATTGTCCATAGATGCCTCCTAGGTCATGGGGCCGCATAACTGCATGAAGCGGCGTTACCTTCCCACAGAAGTGGTACCTGTTGATCTACTCACATTTGAATGTTTTTAAACTGCTTGTTGGCAGAAGCTGGGGCTAACAGCAGGAGCTCAACCTGCTCTCCGGATTCGAACTGCCAAACTTTCCATCAGCAAGTTCAGCAGCTCAGCGGCTTAACCCGCTGCGCCACCATGCATATTAAGGAAAATGGCTCTGTATGAATTATGAAGTAGCTCTTCATGTAATTACATGCATTACTTGTGTATGCATATATGTCTTCAAATTATCTGCCAATTAATGTCATCCTTGTGAATTTTACAGGCTGTTTTTAGGCATGGTTTTGCCATTTCCTCCCTCCCTCTGAAATATACCCTAAAACACCTGGTTTTTGTTAATGGTCTCCCATCCAACTATTATCCAGAGTTGGTCCTGCTTTGCTTCCAAGCTCAGATAGGATTGGGTACCTTTAGAGAATATTTTGGTGACTACAGGTTTATATGGACAAATTTCAATGCTTGCCATTCTTTGCAAACTAGGACAGAGGAGATCTCAAACAATATCTAAATAATGAGAGCAGGGTGAGAAATAATATGCCATGAGTCCAAATAGGTATTTCTTTGGTGCAGATATTCTCAATTCTGATAAAGTATCACCAACATTTGGTCCATTGGGAGGATTCTAAAGGGCACCCTTCATTAGCATTCACCTCCCTTTTAAAATAAATTCAGCCTGCCTTCAGAAAGGAGAGGAAGGAGTTTGAAAGTATAATCAGTTCTAAAAATATAGTATATGGTAATGAACAGCCTCCTTCTATGCACAAAACAAATCCACTCCCCCTTCCCAAGACACTGTTAACTGCAAATGATTACGTGCAACTAGACCTGAATCACAGTTCAGTTCTAGCCCTAGATCCCCCGTGAACATATAGGGTAAGAAGAAACATCATGACACCCACCTAACTAAGTCACATTTACTAATATTCAAATTGTGTTACTTTACCAGAGTAAGGTGACCAGGACCTATCTTTTCTACTGCTTGGCTTTGTTTTGTAAAAAGATTAGCATCCCCATTGCTTCTGGGCATTAAAATCTGGCATGATTTTTTAAAAAAGACATTCTGGGGATCAATACCTGTATTTATTCTTGCTCTGACATACCTGATCCATCCTAAAATATTTCTGAAATGTTGTTGTTGTTGTTATTATTTGTAATCTCAGGGGGCATCTACACATGCAGTTTGACACCACTTTAACTGCCAGAACACAATGCTATTGAATCAGGAAAATTGTAGTTTTACAAGGTCTTTAGTGGGGCCCCTTGATGGCGTAGTGGATTAAACCGCTGAACTTGCTGAGTGAAAGGTTTGAATTACGGGAGAGGAATGAGCTCCCATTGTTAGTCCCAGCTTCTACCAACCTAGCAGTTCGAAAACATGCAAATGTGAGTAGATCAATAGGTATCACTCCGGCAGGAAGGTAATGGCACTCCATGCAGTCATGCTGGCCACGTGATCATGGAGGTGTCTACAGACAACGCCGGCTCTTTGACTTAGAAATGGAGATGAGCACCCACCCCCAGAGTCGGACACAACGAGACTTAATGTCAAGGGGAAACCTTTACCTTAGTGCCTTTTGCCAAGAATGTGGGCACCTTCCCAAACTTCAGATCCCAGGATTCCACAGCATTGAGCCATGGCTGTTAAAGTGGACATCATATGGTATTAATTCCACAGTGTAGCTGCATGACCAGTTAGTTTGGATTGTTTGAGAAACAGGGGCTCATGGGATTTTTATAATGCCTCTTATGGTATCGAATTGAATCTACTAGAAATAAAGTTTAATTATGTTTATCTGTTCATCCACACTATCACTGTTTGTATGTGTGTGAAGGGGACAAGGGACAAAGACTTGGTTTCATTTGATTAATACATAGCAATAGTAAGAATAAGAATTTGGTTAAATAAATAGTTTTAAAAATCAATTTAAGATAGAAGAGATTAATAAGAACGGTTGGTCACAAACATTACCAAATGGCAAAAATAAACATCCCCTTCTTTAGATATGCAAAAGGGAATCAATTGAAGGTCTGGGAATGTCAAGCTGAAGAACTCACACAGGTAATAAGTCTTAGATGTAAGACAGTTCAAACAAAATAGTGTTTGATGGATTGGATCAAATGAGTGCCTCAAAGGAAGGAGTGCCAGATGGGAAAATGAAAAGAAATAAGCATGGGAAAGAGGATGTCTCTTGAAGGTGATGTATGAAGTGTGAATTGTACCTGCAAAACTATAAGGATCCCATGTGAGACCACATTCAGGGTAGCACTTCCTTTTTGACTACTGCTACCCAGCAGTTCCATCTCATTATGTGGACCAGATTTATTGGCTGATGGATCAGCAGGAGTGTTTGGTTGCAGGTGAAAATAGTATTATTATTAATAATAATAATAATGATTCTGGCACTGTTTACTTGTCTGAACGTATCTCTTGCTATGACCCATCGCAAAATCAAAGATCAACGGGAGAGGCCCTGCTCTCAGTCCCACCATCCTCGCAAACGTGACTGGTAGAGACGAGAAACGGAGCCTTCTCAGTGGTGGCCTCTCGCCTGTGGAACTCTACCCAGTGACATTAGATTGGCCCCCTCCCTCTTGTCCTTTAGAATGAAACTCAAAATGTGGTAATGGGACCAAGTATTTGAACAGTAGAGGCAGCAATTTAGAATGAGATCCAATTTGGACTGACCTGGACTATGATTTCAAAACCACATGATTTAAACAATGTTTTAGTAATTTTGAAGCATTAACAAATTGTTTTAATTGCTTTTATCATTTATTACTGTTGTTGGCATTGAATGAATGCCTGTTGTGAAGCTGCCCTGAGTCCCCCTCCGGGAGTGAGAAGGACAGGATACAAATATGTGAAATAAATAAATAAAATTATATTTATTTATATCCTATTTTCCTCTCTTTAAAGGGGAACTTGGCACATTATTCCTCAACTCACATTATGAAAATTTCTCATTGATTTGTGACCTGCCTTCAGTGTTCAGCAGATGATTTGAATTATTCATTTGCCACTGAACTGAACAGCAAAGTAAGGAATGATTGCCTGAAATGGCCCTTAAATGCAAAATATAAACTATTTTTTCTATTCAGTATGCAAAGTGTTATATTGTGTTTACTGTACTGATGGGCGTGGCCTCATGTAAGCCACACCGAGTCCCCCTGGGGGAGATGGAGCGGGGAATAAATAAGGTTTATTATTATTATTATTATTATTAAAGTGGGATAATTCAGATATGAATACACTGCAATAAACCACCTTTTTCGGCCTAGAGGAAAGGAGGTATAGATAATATAAAACAACAATTTTAGAATAGGAAGCAGGGATGTGCCCATGCCCATTTTTGCTATAACAGCTGATACTACACAAACATCAGTTTTTATTGAAATCTTCTTTCTATTGGAATGAGTTCTTTCTGGGTCTTCTTGAAACTCCCATTTATGGGGAAAAAACATTATCAACAAGTGATAGTTTATCAAACCATAAGGCCTGAGTCTCAGCTGGTTGTGAATTGGCTTGTGATGGTTTGGGAAACAAGTGGCCCATTCACAACACAGAATTGTAGCTCTTTTGTTCTACATTCGCTGCAACCTGGGTTTTGTAGTCTGGTGTGGCACTGAAGCACTTTGGCTGATAATTGTAAAACCTTCTCCCTAAAGTCGGAATCCTACGATTCTATAGGATGGAGGCATGGCCAGTCAAGCAGAATCACTGTGCTATAATTCTGTAGTATGGATGAATGGTAGGTCTTTTTTGTAACCTGGGCCGTAATAGTTAGAAATAAGAAGAAAGACTGTAAAATAATGCTAGTTCCCTTGAAAAAAGAAGTATTTGGCAACAATACCTGCCACTATGTTTACAGGTACTGATGGACAACATGTCCTCGTGGACAACAAGTTAAACATGAGCCAACAATGTTATGAGGCAGCTAAAAAAGCCAATGGGATTTTGGCCTGCATAAATAGGAGTATAGTATCTAGATCCAGGGAAGTCATGCTACCCCTCTATTCTGCCTTGGTCAAACCACACCTGGAATCACACTGTGTCCAATTCTGGGCACTGCAATTTAAGGGAGATATTGACTCTATGCTGGAATGTGTCCAGAGGAGGGCGACTGAAATGATCAAGGGTTTGGAAAACAAGCCCTATGAGGAGCGGCTTAAAGAGTTAGGCATGTTTAACCTGCAGAAGAGAAAGCTGAGAGGAGACATGATGAGGGACATGTATAAATAGTTGAGGGGAAGTCATAGGGAGAAGGGAGCAGGCTTGTTTTCTGCTGCCCTGGAGACTAGGAGATTCCATCTGAACATTAGGAAGAATTTCCTAGCTGTGAGAGCTGTTCAGTAGTGGAACTCTCTGCCCCGGAGTGTGGTGAAGGCTCCCTCTTTGGAGGCTTTTAAGAAGACTGCATGGCTCATCTGTTGAGGTGCTTTGAATGCGATTTTCCTGCTTCTTGGCAGGGAGTTGGTCTGGATGGCCCACGAGGTCTCTTCCAACTTAATCATTCTATGATTCTATGATCAACACTTTTCCATAAATTGGTACGTATCCTGTAATTTGGGAATACAGACCCAGTTTCCCTTATCCAAAATGTTTGAGGCTACTGTGTTTTGGATCCCCCCCCCTCCAGATGTTGGGATATTTGCATATATATTTGATTAAGACATATTTTAAGATGGGACCAAAATCTAAACACCTAATTAATTTATGCTTTATAACAGGCATGGGCCATCTTCGGCACTCCAGGTATTTTGGACTTCAATTCCGGCTGTTAGGAATTGTAGGAGTTGAAGTCCAAAACACCTGAAGAGCTGAAGATGGCCCATACCTGGAAATAACATTACACATAACATTTTAACTTAGTTTGAAGTCTGTGTGCCCTGAAAGCAGAGAGGTCAGTCTCTCAACCATCTATTTTGGAATTTGGAGTATTTCTGATTTCAGAATTCCAGATAAGAGATGCAACCCAGCCATTATATTTTCCCCTATAGGAGTCAACATAAACATTGTGGAGTGCACTAGCAGAAACATTCAAAATTACTGAATATTTGACACAAGTCAAGCCTGGACTTCTCATGAACAAAAATGTAGGTCTGGAATCAGACCTGGGATAATAAAAAGAATAATGGGTTGTTGTAGGTTTTTTGGGCTGCATGACCATGTTCTAGAAGCATTCTCTCCTGACATTTTGCCTGCATCTGTGGCAAGCATCCTCAGAGGTTGTGAGGTTGAGGATGCTTGCCACAGATACAGGCGAAACATCAGGAAGAATGCTTCTAGAACATGGCCATACAGCCCAAAAAACCTACAACAACCCAGTGAGTCCAGCCATGAAAGCCTTTGACAATACAACAACAACAACAACAACAACAACAAATTATTTGTATTCCTGGGAGAACTCAGGGCAGATTCTAACAACAGAAGGAAAACAAAACATTCAATGCCTATACAATAAGAATAACAAATAACTTAATTTGTTAATACAAATACATTAACAAACCGCCCAAATCCCCAAAAAGTGAATGTATATCACTTTAAAATGCACATAAATCACGTTTACACCCAAATATCAAATTAAACAAACAAACAACTCACTTAAAATTAATTTAAATTATATCTAATATGAAAACATAACTTTGACATCACAAGAATCAATAATTTATTTAATTATTTACCCTATTTATACTCCATTTTTCTCTATCTCAAGGGGGACTCAAGGCAGCTAACATATGGCAATTATTCAATGCCTTAAACACATATTTTATTTATTTATTTATTTATTTATTTATGACATTTATATGCTGCCCTTCTCACCCCAAAGGGGACTCAGAGCCACTTACAAGATATATATACATACAATATATTATATTATTAGCATAGTACAATATCAGTATTAAAATATTACTATATTGTACTATACCATTATATTGTAATATTATTAGTAATATTACATGTAATATAAATATATAATTATAATATCATATTATTAGTAGTATTATATTGCATTACATTATAATATTATAAATATTATATGTATATACAATATATTACATTATATTACATTATTAGCATAGCACAGGAGACATACAAACATTAAGCTTAAAATCCATTGAATTAAAATACATATTTTTAAAAATCAAAAAATTACATTCAGCATTAAAATCACGCCATCCATAACATCTACACCGTAGAATTAATGCAGTTTGACACCACTTTAGCTGCCAGGAACCCTGGGAGGTGTAGTTTTATAAGGCTTCCTCTGTCTGAGAGTGCTGGTGCCTCACCAAACTATAACTCTCCTGTTCCAGAGCATTGAGCGATGGCATTTAAGGTGGTATCAAACTGGATTTATTCTAAAGTGTACGCGTATCCAAGGTTTCATTTAGCCCAGCCCTGTTTACATCCTCCAAAAATCCATTGGATTCCAGTCTTGCCCAGATATCTACCTACCTTTACAAAAGGGGAGGGGTTAGGAAACATTTCCCAACCTGGCTCCCTTAATCCAAGATATAAAGTGACATATTATGATCATCGTGATTAGGATCGTATCAGTATGCAACCCTCCCCCCAGCAAGCCCCGCCACCCTATTGATTGGGGAACCCCAGGAAGGGGAAGGGCGGCTTTTACCTTCCTTTGCAGCCGAGCTGCTTGTGGTGGGAAGTCAGTCTCTCCGCCTCATTCCTTGCTGTTGCTGCTGCTGCTGCCTCCTCCTTCCTTCCTTCACCCAGAGCAAGAAAGGGAAGCTAAAAGGAAGGAAAGGCAGCCAAGAGGGGGCGCCAGTTGCCGGAGGACACCAGCACTCTTTGGCAGAGGATGCTAAAGTCTGGGTTTCTGTGAGTTTTTCGGGCTGTAGGGCCCATGTTCCACCAGCATTCTCTCCTGACGTTTCGTCTGCATCTATGGCAGGCATCCTCAGGGGTTGTGAGGTCTGTTGGAAACTAGGAAAATGGGGTTTATATATCTGTGGAAACTCCAGGGTGGGAGAAAGAACTCTTGTCTGCGTGAGGCATAGCAGCCAGGCTTTGAAGCTGCAAGGCTGTTCAATGCTAATCAAGCTGGCCAATTGCAACACTCACCCTTGCCTCAAACAGACAAGAGGAAACTAGGAAAACTGTGGAATGTCCAAGGTGGGAGAAAGAACTCTTGTTTGCTTGAGGCATGTGTGAGGCAAAGAAGCCAGGCTTTGAAGCTGCAAGGCTATTCGATGCTAATCAAGATGGCCAATTGCAACATTCACACTTGCCTCAAACAGACAAGAGGAAACTAGGAAAATGGGGTTTCTGTGGAATGTCCAGGGTGGGAGAAAGAATTCTTGTCTGCTTTGCGTGAGGCAAAGCAGCCAGGCTTTGAAGCTGTTAGGAATTGTGGGAGTTGAAGTCCAAAACACCTGGAGGACCCAAGTTTACCCATGCCTGGGTAGATGCACTCCAAGAAAGGCAGGGCAGAAGATATTTAGAGGGGGAAAGAGAAACCAGATATGTTTTTATTTTATTTTAGATTTGATTTGCGTGTCGACCAAGAATGGGGCTGGACTGGATAGCCTCTACGGTTCCCTTCCAGCTCTATCATTCTGTGAACAACAGCAACCTACGTCACAAACAGGGGCGAGGCCAATGCTCTTGGATGCCCGAGGCATCCTGTTCCTGCCCTCAAGAAACATGGCGGCCCATTCCCACTCAGGGAGCATGCCCTCTGGAAAAATGGCGGCCTAAGCCGCACTCTTCCGCTCTCAGGGGAGGCGCTTATCCAATCCCCGCCCCGCGGCCTCCTTGCCCTCTTCCCTGATTGGTTCGTTTTCAGATCGATTGCCCTCCTTGGCACCGCCTCTCGCCTTGGCTCCGGATGGGACACGGAGGCAAGAAGCAGCCATGGCGGATTGGGGCCGAGGTAGGAAGGGAGGGAGCGGTGTCTGAGGGGAGGCGGCAAGCCTCGGAGGGGGGAGGAGAGTGGGCGCCCTTCGTTCTGCCCTGGTTAAGCCTTCCCTTTGTTTTGAGGAGAGGCCCTCCTTCCCGTGGAAGCAGGCCTGGGCAAACTTGGGCCCTCCAGGTGTTTTGGACTTCAACCCCCACCATTCCTAACAGCCTGTAGGGCCGAAGGTGGCCCAGGCCTGCTTTAAATGGTTCTCCCCCCGTCTCCTTTGTTTTCTTTCACAAAGAATGCCCTCTGACAGCTGAAATAGTGAGTGAGCCACAGTATCGCCAATCTTATTTCCATAACATTGAGCCATAGCAGTTGACTGCATTAGTTCATAAATGTAGACCCACTGAATAAAAAGAAAAGGAATTATTCATGCTGGAAATCCTTGGGACCAGAAGTATTTTGGATTTTGGAATATTCACCTGTATTAAATGAGATATCCTACAGATAGGACCCAAAAACTAAACAGAACATTCATTTGTATACATGTGTATATATGTTATTATACATTATTATTTGATACACAACAAGATTAGTGCACAGCAAACAAGAACGCTGTGCTGGCTTTTGTATTTGATCACACTTCAGACACATCCCAAGTATCTAGGAGTGTGTGATGTATTGGCAAATAATGCACGCAGAACCAGGTAGGGTGGCCTTTTGCAACTGACAGATGGTAATATTGTCGGCGCCGATTGTTTTTAAGTGCAGGTCAAGGTATTTAGGCACTGTACCCAGCATGCCGATCACCACTGGGACCACCTTTACTGACTTGTGTCAGAGTCTTTGCATTCATTTATGATACATTATCATCATCATCAGCATGTTTATTTATACGCCACTTTATCTCCCCGAAGGCAACTAAAAGTGGCTTGACATCAACACATCAGCATAACCATTTAAAATATACAAGTATTATTGTTCTTGTTATTATTATTACTTATATTACTTATATTATTTATATTATTACTTATAATATACTTATATTATTACTTTATCTCCCCAAAGGTGACTAAAAGCAACTTGACATAAAAGCATCGGCATAATATTTTACAAACATACAATTAGTATTATTATTGTGGTTATGTTTGTTTATATCCTGCTTTATCTCCCCTGAAGGCAACTCAAAGCGGCTCAGTATAAAAGCACCAGCACAAACATTTACAAATATACAAACATTAAAACAGGATTAAATATACACAGTATTCAAAAACTTCGCTTAATTTGTTGAGTTACTGGCTTATTTATTGTCTTTTCCTATCCTTACGGTCAAAAGGAAGGCTACAAGTTAAGAATAACTTTACATAGCCTAAGAGTCCTTTCATGAACAGTTTTAAAGAATTTTGTGCATGCAGCAAAGTTTGTATATACTGATCCATCAGAAAGCAAATGTCTTGCTACTGTCATTTCAGTGGACTTCTGTCCTTCCCCCAAATGTTTGGGATGGCTGTGTTTTGGATTTTTTCAGATTCTAAAATCTTTGCCTATTAGTAATTAGACATCATGGAGATGTGACACCCACAACATTCATTTATGGTTCATGCATGCATATATAACCTCAAGGTTGTTTTATATAGAGTGATTTAAAAAAAAAATTTGTGCGTGAAACCAGGTTGGGCACATTGAACCCTTAGAAAAAACAAAGGTGTTACTTTCTCAGCCATTGTGCAAAGTTTTGGATTTGAGGATTTATGAATAAGGGATATTCCAACCCTGCATTTCCATTATTGGTTTCTCCATTTGTTCTGCTTTCATTTTGGGTGGTTATGTGTGGAAACTGATTTTTTTAATACTGTTACATTTAATTCTGTTTTAATATTTGCATATTTTTATATTTAAAATTATGTGGTCATACTTTTAATGTAAGCCACTTTGAGTCTCCTTTGGGAGAGATAAAGCGGGGTATTGGTAATAATAATAATAATAATAATAATAATAATAATAATAACAACAGTAATAATGGTGGTTACATGGGGTTAAGCAAAGTTCTCCAATTATGGATCCTGGCTGGACAGCAGTAGAAAAAGAGTGTGGCATTAAAGAATATAAAATGGTTATATGAGACACTGTTTTTATTGAAGTGCATGCAAACTTCCAGCATGGTTTTCTATGACGGCAGTGGGAATTTCTCCACATACTGGAGAAAATGCTGTGTTCTGTGGCTGTGAATACAGAGCATGAATCCATTAGCACGTGCACCATGTCTATACAGAGCGTGAATTCATTAGCAGTAGCAGCCATGTCTACATCATGTTGCAGTGAGTTTCACAGTTAAACTGAAACTCAGTGCAACATGATGTAGACATGGCTGCTACTGGAATGTCTTAAAAGAGGGTTTCCATATATTCAAAGAGGAAGGAGCCATCAATGGCTGCTACTTTGGGATGCCGTGTGTCCGTCGCTGGGGCTTGTGAGATGGAGTTGCACTCAGGTCTTGCTGCTGGTTTCTGCTGCATGTGGTCCTTTGACTTCATCTATTGTGAATTTTCTTATTCCAGTAAAAAATACTCCAAAGTATGCCACTTTGCTTCTGAAACTGGGTCTCATGATGGCTCACAAGATTTAAAAGAATGGAAAAGTTATAACATTAAAACACAATTAACCAAGTTATAATGTTAAAGTGCATTGAATTAAAAACAAAATATAGCACAAGTCTATTAACAGCCCTTTTCACAGAAATCCATTTCCAAAATATGCCTGGATTGAAAATATATATTTTTAAAAATGACAACATGAAGAGGACCAGACTAGCTTCCTTGGAAAGGGGGCGCCACATCTTGAGAAAAGCTACCCAGAAGGCCCATAAAAATGCAGATATTATCTGTATCACCGGAGGTGAGTTTTAACTGTACTTGGAGCAAATGGTGATGCTCTTTTTCTTTGTTGCAGGTCAGAATACTAGTGCTGTGGATGATATGCTAGATGAAGAAAACAAGCGTATGACCGAAAACCTGTCTTCTAAAGTCACCCGACTAAAATCGGTCAGTAGATCATCTGCTTAGCAGGTTTTGCCTCTACTCAATTTCTTTTTTAATGAGTTCTGCATTTAAGATTTTTGCAGCCTGTTCCTTGCTGTATATATTTTTTTAAACTTGGAAATGTGGGAAGGAGAACTTTAAGCTTTTGTTTGCATTTTCTTAATCACCCTACCTTAAAAGCATCTCATTACTAGAAGCTTTTTATGTGGCATTTTACAAAATATATGATTAGATAACAGTTGTCTCCTGTGTTTTGAATAGCTTGCACTGGACATTGACAAAGATGCTGAGGATCAAAATCACTACCTAGATGGCATGGTAAGCCATTCCATTCACAAAGTCAATGAAACCAAGTTGTTTATATACTGATGAAGAATTTTGTGCAATTGTATTAGTTAGGAATACGTTCAATGTGATATTGGATTCCTAGTTCCAAATATTTAGAGTTCCCTACTCAAGTAATACTTAGATGCGTTCAAAATAATAAAAACTTACCATCTTTATTAGTTGTTACTGTTTCTGTGATACATAGAATCACAACATTGGAAGAGACCACAAGGGCCATCTAGTCCAACCCCTTGCCATTCAGTAAAAACACAGTCAAAGCACCCTCGGCAGATAGCCATCCAGTTTAAAAGCCTCGAAAGAAGACACTTCTGCCGCACTCTGAGACAGAGTTCCACTGCTGAACAGCTCTTATATAATGATGATTTGTATTTTTTTGCTGAATGTGCACATTCTGGGAAGCCGCAGGCTGCTATAACTTCCTGTCACACATGTAGTGCAGTAAATATATGGCTGTACCATTATATGTAATGACTTGTGCCTTCTTCATTTTCATTCTGTCCATTGCACTGAGTCTGGCAACCTGGGTTCTTCCTTGTGTTCAATCATAAAGTTCACTTAGGACCTCTCCATACAGTCATATAACCCAGAATATCAAGGCAGAAAATCCCACAATATCTGCTTTGAACTGGGTTATCTGAGTCGACACTGCCATATATTCCAGTTCAAAGCAGATTATATGGAATTTTATTCAGTTGTGTGGAAGGGCCCTAGTGGCCCCAGGGCAACTAAGATTTTTCTCTCATTTAATTATTGTGACGAGAACAAACTATTTTGTAACTGGAATTTTGTAACTTGGTTGGGTTGACTCAGTTTTAATCAGAAATAGGCATTGAATGGAGATAAATTAGTCATGTGGATTATGGGCTTACAGTACACTTCCCTTTCCTGCATGGCAATAAGTAAGTCGTGATTTCTCCATATCAGTTTTTACTTTCTCTTTGCTTTAGGACTCTGATTTCATGAGCGTAACAGGCCTTTTGACTGGCAGTGTGAAGCGTTTCTCCACCATGACTCGTTCTGGAAGGGACAATCGCAAACTTCTTTGTTACATCTCCGCCGGACTTGTCGCTGTATTCTTCATCCTCTATTATTTGGTGGCAAGGGCACGAACTTGAGAAGCATCACCAAAAATTATACTTGGATGCTTATGTGTAATACAATGGAACAAAATCTTACAACAGGAGGGAAGGGGAGAGCTTTAGAAGATTTCCTGTTAAGGACTTTCCAGATTTCACCGTGATCCAGAGAATTCTCTATGAACTCATTTCTGTAGACTAACTTTTCTTTGTCTTTAATAAGGATAAAGTTATTGTGCCATTCTACTTCTGAAAGCATAAATTTAGCAAACTTCACTTCCATATTGGAAAGAAGCATTCTTAAATTGGTTTTCTCTTTCTGCTGGGTGGGAGGGGAAACATACTGATGATGATGGCTTCAGCAGGAAAATCCTGATCCACATCTTGATTGCAATCCATATCGTAGCAGAAATGTCGTAGCACTCAAATTCAGTGAAAAATAAGGGCTGTCACTGGGGTACTGATATTCGGACATTAGTATCCTGGAAACAAATTTCGCTACTATACAGCTTGTTTCAAGAAAAAAATCAGCTGTTGTATTCTCTGTTTCTGGATATGCCAGCACTTATAAATATATTCACAATCCTCTTTGCATGTTATGCTGAAGGACTTGCAGAGATGAGCTTGGAATATTCCGGAAAGAAGAAAGCAGGCGAACTTACACAAATGTTGCCATTTCATCTTTGTTTTTGTTTTTGTTTTTCATTCTTGTCAAACTTGTAACTACATACTTTATATGTATCCCTGGTGATATAAATCCCTATAAGAAATTAATCCATTTTTATTTTTAGGAAATTGTGAAGATTCACCTATTAAATATGTATTAATGATCCACTGATTAAGGATTCTGTCATACACACTTGCCTGAGAGTAAGTTTCATTGAACTTAGTGAGACTTACTTATGAGTGGTTAGGTATAGGAGCACACTATAATTTCTGTAGCTGTCTGTTTCACAGAATCATGGAGTTGGAAGAGACTTCATAGGCCATCCAGTCCAACCCCCTGCCAAGAAGCAAGAAAATCAAAGTCAAAGCATTCCCAACAGATGGCCATTCAGCCTCTGATTAAAAGCCTCCAAAGAAGGAGCCCTCACCACACATATTATGCACATATTTGGAAACAAATATGTTTTACTTCACAGTTCCTTAAGGTAAAGGTAAAGGTTTCCCCTGACATTAAGTCTAGTTGGGTCCAACTCTGGGGAGTGATTCTCATCTCCATTTCTAAGCTGAAGAGCCAGCGTTGTCTATAGACACCTCCAAGGTCATGTGGCTGGCATGACTGCATGGAGCACCATTACCTTCCCACTGAAGTACCTATTGATCTACTCACATTTGCATGTTTTCGAACTGCTAGGTTGGCAGAAGCTGGGCCAACAGTGGGAGTTCACCCTGCTCCCCGAATTCAAACCACCAGCCTTTCAGTCAGCAAGTTCAGCAGCTTAGCAGTTTAACCTGCTGCGCCACCATGGGGCCACAACTCCTTAGCTTACATTTTTAACCCAGTTTTGGCACCTGAAGTACCCACAAGGATTTAATAGCAAAATTGGAACTAAGTACACGAAACAAAGTTGCATTGCATTCATTAAGACTTCTAGGCAAGTATGGATGTGAAATACAGCCTACAAAGGCATAGAAAGAATTTGTAAAAAGTTTCTTCATCAGAGGCTTTGTTAACAGATATGCTTATATTCCAAGTATCTGTTCTTCATTATTGCAGATAGTATTTAAGACTTCTGTAGCTGTTTTAAGGCTATTATGTTAAAAAAGAAAGGACATTTTAACATGACTGCAAGCAGATTAAATAAGACAATTGATGCTACAACTGTAAAAGCCATTTGGAGCAAAACATGTAGTGTTCACTACTAGGTATTAAGGGACAAGCAACTTTATTTTGTAGGATTATTTATTAACATATAATTGAGTAATTCATCTTTTCAGTCTTCTGTACCTCAGCCTTTAGAATCTACTGAGAATTAAAGTCAGATTGGCCACTATAGATTTACTGTACTTATATACCTGTACTCCCAGATAACTTTACCTATATTGCCTATGTTGTTTAAAATCTATTTTTACATGTACACCCACAGCAGTGTGTGAAATGGCTTTGAGACCATTGTAGAGCTATCCCATCCCAAACTATACATTAAAATCATTATGAATCTCTGATCATGTGTGATACCAGTAAGGCAATAAAGATGGGTCATCTGCAGCTAACTCTGAAATTAGACCATTTTGTGCCATGCCTTACTACTAATCCAGACTTTAAAATAGCTGTAGGATGTCACAGAACGCATGGGGAAAGCATTTCCCATGGTGATATCTTAATTATGCAATTATGTTTAAAGATACACTTGGCTTCTGCCTCACATTCTGAGAAGTGTCTTATTCTGCTGTATGTCATTTTATTGGTAATGGCATAGTTTTATGCCCTTTAGATTTTTGCTGTCCACAACTCTTGCATCTATAGAAAGAAGAGCAATGTTGACATACCTTTTTAAAAAAACATGTCCTACCCTTCTTCGAGAACTGGAACATATAGTTGCCAGCAACACATAACATAAAGAAAAAGGGAAACATTCTTAAATTACAATGCAATAAAACAGCAGCAACACATGTCTCTCTGGACTGCATGAATACCTTAACAAAAATATATATCTTAAGACAGATTGGATATCTAATGCCATCTGGAAGGTTTGGGGTTTTTGTTGTTGTTATTTTATGTCAGGAGTGATTTGAGAAACTGCAAGTCGCTTCTAGTGTGAGAATTGGCTGTCTGCAAGGATGTTGCCCAAGGGACTCCCAGATGTTTTCATGTTTTACCATCCTTGTGAGAAGTTTCTCTCATGTCCCCACATGGGGAGCTGAAGCTGATGGAGCTCATCCGTACTCTCCCCGGATTCGAACCACTGACCTGTTGGTCTTCAGTCCTGTCGGCACAAGGGTTTAACCCATTGCGCCATCGGGAGTGATGTTAGAAGTAAATCAATAAGTTATCAAACCAACACTGCAACAGTTAATTTGCTATTTTGTTCCCTGTGTGCTGAAAATATTTTCTTATAGTCCTATTCGCCTTAATAAAGAGAAATACCATCCATCTACTTGGGGGTCTAATAGCTTATTGTTCAGAGAAGGGGTTCAATCACACACCATCACTGTTGCTTGTTTTTAAGATTATGATGATTGAGTGATCTGGCAAGGACAAACAATTGCTGCCAGATCGTTTTGCACAGCTGTTTCTATACTCTCTCACCATTGGCAATATAGGCTAAAGGTAATGGGAGTTGTAGATCAAAAACATCTCACTTTTAGCCATTGTGTATTACACTTTGCAGTAAATATTTTTGTTTGGTTTTAGAGTTTTGAAAATTGAGGTGCACATTAAATTTGATGATGCATTTAGACTTGAGTAAACATGGGTAGAATTATAGAGTTGGAAGAGACCTCATGGGCCATCCAGTCCAACCCCCTGCCAAGAAGCAGGAAAATCGCATTCAAAGCACCCCTGACAGCCATCCAGCCTCTGATTAAAAGCTTCCAAAGAAGGAGCCTCCACCACACTCCAGGTCAGAGAGTTCCACTGCTGAGCAGATCTCACAGTCAGGAAGTTCTTCCTAATGTTCAGATGGAATAATTGTGCAACAGTGGATGTTGACCTGAATTGTGACTTGCACAGACTTTAAATGTGTTTTCCTCCAAAGTACTTTACATTCTTTTAGTTCTGCTTGTATGTTTTCCACAAACGCCCCATCACTTTTTTTCGCCCATGTCCAGCATTATTTTTAATTTCACTTTATATTTGGCCTTCCCATAGTTTTTAATAGTGTGTTGTCTTATTGTTAATGCTTACGTTATTGTTTTATTGTCTATGTTTGATTTTAATTGCTTGTATTGTTGTTATTATTGCTTGTATTGTTGTATTTGTGCTCGGCCTCATGTAAGCTGCATCGAGTCCCATGGGGAGATGGTAGCGGGGTATAAATAAAGATTATTATTATTATTATTATTATTATTATTATTATTATTATTTTCAGATTTCACCACTATGGATTCATTGTGTGGCTTTGAAGAAAATAAATTCTTATATCAGATATTGATCCATAAAATGATCTTGCCCACAGAGTTGCTATAAACATGATTGTAATAATATAGGGGATGCTAGCATAAGAGCCATCATGGTGTATAGTTGGAGCATTGGGCTATGACTCTGTTGCTCAGAGTTCAAATCCAAGGGCATTAGGCAAACAACAACAAAAGGAGATTTGCATGGAATTTGCTTCCCTTCATCAAATCATTTTGATGAATTGGTGACAATTGTTACTCTAGTGTTAATGATTTCAGCTCTTCTCTCAATGTTATTCAATTGGGAGATAATGGGTAAATCCTTGCTGCCATTTCTATGAAAACTTAACTATTCTTATTTTAAGGATAGCTCTGTCTTTACAGTTTCTATAGTGTTTCTTCAAAGATCATCAGAGTTTGCAAACAAGATAAAACATCCACTAAGAATTGCTTTCTTAATTTATTTATTCTCAAACAGATTTCACAGCTAAAAACAGTAAAACAAATATACAAAAATAGATTTATAGGAGCAAAACAACCAAACCAAAAAACTAACTAACTAACTAGCTAACTAAACTAACTAACAAATATATATTTCTCTGTACATCAACTCCCAATCCCCCCCCCCCAAATTATGTACACAAAATACTTAGATTCTGTACACAGAATGTAGATGTGTGTTCCAGCAAGTTCAAAGCATTAAGGCAAATTTGCAATGTGTCCTCGTCACACAAAGGGACTGGCACGTTCATTCTTCTGAGTTTAGTACTTCAATCTTCAACAATAACCAGCTTCTGAATATTTGAAATGGTCCTTCAGTGCTGGTATTTGTTTTTAAAAACACAAGTCAACAGCTGCTAGTTAATTTAGAAACTATGGAAGCAGGCATCTTTAAAACATGAACATGATATAGAACTATCAGTAGAAAAAATCAGTCGGATTTCAGTGGTGGAGGGAAACCTCAGCAGACATCCACAATCATAGGTGTTGTATAATCTGAATGTTTGATCCCAAAGGTGACAACTGGAGCACAAGATTTGATCATACATACCTAGAAGGAGGATGAGAAAATATATAAACAGATTAGTCTTCCACTGAATTACAAACGGTTATGCTCCCCCCCCCCCCCGATTCCTATCTTCTTAATGAGATCCATCATACAACCAATAAGAAAAGGAAAGCCTTCCAAATATGACAAAGAGACATCAAATGTAATGCTAAGAAAAAGTTCTACACTAATGCAAAAGCTCAAGAACACCCAACACTTTGCAGATGTTCACAATGCATGGGTATATTTTTAAGCCACAAAGGTCATTTATGGCCCAACAAATCATTACATACAGTCTCTATATTCGACAGATGAAACCAAACTTCTGAAGGACAAAAATCCATTGCACTATGTTGGAAAGACACTACTATGACCTCCTTAACCGCAGTGTCCATGTGGTTGAAGAGGTTCTCCCAAATCTCTCAACAACAAACTAGGAATGAGCTTGCAGCACTATTCCATTTGGAGGAAGTTAGTGAAGCCATCAACCAGTTAAAAAATAACAAAGTCAGTGGACCTGATGGGACATGTGCTCAAAAGAAAGTAGGCTGACACAAGCTTATTGAAAAAGTGTGGGTAACTGAGAAGATTCCAGTGGACTTTGTGGATGACATTATCATTGCCCTTTTCAAAAAGGAAAAAAGAACAGATTGTGGAAACAATCGCAGAATCTCCCTTTTAACATCTGCTGGAAAAAATCTTGGAAGAATCCTCGCAAACTGCCTTCTACCTCTTTCAGAAGACATCCTCCCTGAAACCCAGAATGACTTTTGTCTGTCCAGAGGAACAGTGGATATGATTTTCACTGCAAGACAGCTCCAAGAAAAATACAGGCAACAAAATCAACCCCTGTACGTGGCATTCATCAACCTTGGAAAGGCCTTAAACACAGTGAATCATAATGCTTTCTGAACCATTCTCCTGAAAATTGGATGCCGTGCCTCTCCCCATTATGACATGATGGCAACAGTCTTGTACAGCAATGGATCCCAAAGTAACCCATTTAAGGTGGAATCAGGTGTGAAACAGGGATACATCATTGCCCCAACAGTATTGTCTATATTCATCTCTATGATTCTATACCTTATTGATGGGAAGTTTCTTACCAGTGTGGAAATCACTTATCAAACAGATGGCAAGCCCTTTAACTCCAGTAGGCTGAAAGCCAAAACTAAGGTCATACAACTTCTGTTATAGAACTCCAATATGCTGATGATAATGTAATCTGTGCTCATTCAGAAGAAGACCCACAGACCATTCTAAACACTTTTGAAGAAGCATACAAAAAGCTTGGCCTCTCACTGAACATTGAGAAAGTCAAAGTTCTCAACCAGAAGACACCAACCATTTCCTCTGCAATGCCTGAAATAAAGCTTAATAGTGTAATACTAGAAAATATTGACCATTTCCACTACCACCTCTCCACAAAAATTGACTTTGACGCTGAAATACAATACCGTCTGAGTTCTGCAAGAGCAGCATTTAAAAAAAGATGAAACAGAGAGTGTTTGTGGATTGGGGACATTCATAGGGATACCAAGATATGTGCTTATAAAGCTGTTGTCATTCCAACTCTATTGTATGCCTGTGAAAAATGGACCATCTACAAACGTCACTCTCGACTTCTAGAATGATGTCAGCATTGTTGTCTTTGAAAAATCCTGCAAATCTCTTGGGAAGACAGGCAGTCAAATGTCAGTGTTTTGGAAGAAGTAACGACCACCACCATTGAAGTGATGATCCTCCGCTATCAACTTCACTGGATTGGCCATGTTGTTCAAATGCCCGATCATTGCTTCCGAAAGCATGGAAAACAGAATGTTGCTGGACAGAAAAAGAGATTCAAATATGGACTTAAAGCTAACCAATGTGGAATAAATACAGAGAACTTGGAAACCCTGGTCCTCGAGCTTTCTAACTGAAAGTCAGCTGTTACCAACAGTGCTATGAATTTCGAAGAGGCACGAATAGAGGGCAAAAGGGAGAAATGTGCTAAGAGGAAGGTACATCAAGCAAACCCTTGTCATGACTGTCTTCTGTGTGGAAATCTATTTCCCCATTGTGAAAGACCATTCGGATCTAGAATAGGTCTCCACAATCGCTTATGGCCCCACTGCCAAGATAAGGCAAGAGGGGTGGCGGTGAAGAGGACAAACTACCCCTTTGCATAAGTTAACACTCCTGAGCAAGAATACAAATCCCAGGTCCTCCCAGTTCAATGGAGTGGAGACTTACATGAACATTTATTGAGCTTTAAGGTTTTCTGGAGGCTAGAAATCCTCCAATTGTTATTAGCCGGTAATTCTAGAAAGGTAGGAGTACTGACTCTGTGAAAACTAATCCTACAACGTGTTTCTGGAACTAAGTTCAGGTACCAAATAGTTTATATGTTCCACAGAACTGTTTGGATAGATGCAGTTTGCTTGAAACTACAGACACGTTTGGTTCTGTGAATGGAGCAGAAGACAATGTAGCCAATTCTGAGTAGTGGCTAGGATTTATTTTCCCCAAAGATAGTAACAATGTACGTTTGAGGGAATTCATCACAAAACATGGTTCTTTACTGCTTTAATTAAAATAGACATGCTGCCTATTTCCACTATGTGGAATTATAGGTTGAAATAAATAATCTTCAGCAACTTCAATTTCTTGTGATTGGCCTGCTTCTTCACAAGTAAATAAGCAGCATGTCTCTATATACCTTCCTTTCCATGAGTGGAGCATGAAATTAATGAAATTCAACTCACAGAACTACATAAATTGGATCCTTTCCCAGGAGGAAGATTCCTTTTAAGCATAATGATTTTGGAACTACAGTTCCCCACAGGAGAACTATTAAAAATGTGTCTACCAGATATCACATTGCTAACTATTACCAAGTCAACATTGGTATTAATGCCTACAGGAGAACATCTTCACCATTCATATTGCTGCAGAGAAAGTTTTCTGAGAAAGTAAATAACAAATAGATTTGATATCCAAACCAGTAAAGGGTGGTGCTGGTTGAACCAGTATTTCAGTTTAAATATAACAGTAAATTGTGATTTAAGAAAGCAAGTGTGTTCACAAAGAAAGGAGAGACCATCCAAGCTCATTTCTTGGTCCCACTCCAACCATCATTTGAACAAATGTGTAACATCTGAATTTATTTATGTCTTAAATAGAGCAATTGAGGAAGAAAATGCCATTGATAAATGCATCATAGGTAAATCCCAATGTATTTACTTTCAGATTTCTATATAAAAAAATATTGTTGCTACAACTCCTTGTGTCTCTTGTCCCTATAACAGGGCAAAAGAAATAGCCTTCCCCAGCTGCTTTTTCCTGGCAAGCCTCAGGCTCTGTTGCCAGAGATTTCATGTGATTTCTTTAACATGACTACACTGATACCAAAACAACAGAATAGTTTTCTCTCACCTTTCCTACTTCATAGTCTGCAGGTCCAGGTATTTTCCCACTTCGTAATGCTGCATTTTTCATACCCATAGAATATTTTGGTGCTCTCTTTTTGTAGACCTCTGTATGTGGTTCATGATAAGCTGCAGGACCAGGGGTCTATAAGTTGGAAGCAGAAAGATTACTAGGAATAGTAAGCAATTCATAGCCAGCTTCTCTATATCTATAAGAAAACTATGGGCCCTTCCACACAGCTCTATATCTCAGAATATCAAGTCAGAAAATCCCACACTATCTGCTTTGAACTGGGTTATCTGAGTCCACACACAGATAATGTGGCTCTCCTGCCTTGATATTCTGGGATATAGGGCTGTGTGGAAGGGCCCTATGTTGCTCTGAAATACCGGAAACATGGTTTTGTTCTCTCAAATCCCATTATCAGCCTCATTTTGACAAAGCTCTTTCTTGTTTTATCCCCACCCCTGTTCTTTTAGTCCAGGAGAAAGGCTCAAAGGCCTTTCCCAGCCTTTGAACTTCTAGATATTTGGGACTTCAGCTCACAGAATCCCACATCCTTGGCCATGCTAAAAAAACTGGTAGATAATCAATGGTTGGCTAACCCTGTTGTAATCCATTTAGAATTGTTTCCTTTAGCAGTGGTGAGACTATTCAGATGTATGTTTCATTGAGTACAAAGTGGTTTAGCTGCTGAGGACTTTGTTGTTTTTATGTGCTTTCAAGTCATTTCCAGTTTCAGCAACCTTAATGTAACTGTATCACGGGCTTTTTTAGAAATATTTCTTCAGAGGAGATTGCTGCTATTGACTTTCTCTGAGGTTGATATGACTGTGACTTGCCCAAGATCACCCAATGTATTCCCAAGGGCACTTTGGGATCTGAACCCTGATCTCCCAGAGTTCAATATACAAGCAAATACATCAGACTGGAAATTAATGAAGATTTAAAACCAGTTTTACATGTGTGTGGACATGGGCTTTTTTTTTTAGTAGTTAATTACTGAGTATTAGTGTTTTGCAGCTGAAAGTATAAACTGTATCCATGCATGAGAAGGACTGTGTCTTAGGTGAGGGTGAAATGAAAATTACAACTTCCAATGGCCTCAGTAGTATATTGAAATATAGTTGGAAGAAGAAGAGAATAACAGAACTGAGGAAGATACAACAATATCACAACATTTAATCTTTGCTTGAACTAAATAATATTATGATTAAGTTGATGCTTGATTCTGATATATATATATATATATATATATATATATATATATATATATATATATTCAGATGCTGTAATCAAAGGGGACCAGGACTTTTTAGCTATTGACTATACTACTCACTAGCAACATGCTGGTTAAAGAACAAAAAAGTCTGCACCAAAATTTTATCCAGGCATATTACTCTTGGCAATCAACAGAAAAAAGAAAGAAATGAAGTGAATTCATGAGCCTACCTTATGAAGGTCTTCATGAAAACACCCACGCATAGTCTTTCCTACCATGGAATAAGAAGGACTAGAAGCCTTGTATACTGTGTGGGGTCCAAATACCCTCGGGATCATGTAAGCGTTGGGACCTGGAAAAGGAAAATATGAGCAATAGGAAGAGTGCTGAAAAGTCCAGGGAGTAGACAGATGATAGCTGGTGTTCACCATGCTTCAACATAGTACTGTGAGCTCAGAAAAACCAGAGGGGATGTTTGACTATTTCTGTGTTGGATTCAGTGGCTAGAATTACTTAATGCAATCAGTACTCAGCTCCTTCTAACAATAATAAATGAAAAAACAGAGCTTGGAGTAACTAATTGCAAATTAGCCAACTGCAATTAATGTATATACTCATGTGTAAGTTGACCTCGTGTTGGGGGCAGGATTGAGTTCTAAACTAATGGCTAATTGTGACTCATGGATAAGTCAAGGGTCCTCTCACAGAGAAGAGAAAGTGCCAGCTCCACCTCAGAGGTCAGCTGCTCCTGGTTGCCACTACCATTTTCCTAGCCAGGTTTTCAAATAAGGCCAGAAGTGATATCATGGTGTAAAGAAGAAAGGGAGTTGGTGGCTCTTTTGGGTCCTTTGGGATAGAATAAGCTTTAGCCTGTCACCACTCTATTGAGAGATGGTTTGATAACAGCTAAGAGTTGCAAATATTAACACTGATCCACAGATAAGTTGACCCAAGATTTTTTGGTTGATATTGGGACTAAACTTTCTAGCCTTCTATAAGGTAAAGATAAAGATTTTCCCCTGACGTGAAGTTCAGCTATATCCCAACTCTGGGGGTAGGTGCTCATCTCCATTTCTAAGCTGAAGAGCCAGCGTTGTCCGTAAACACCTCCAAGGTCATGTGGCCAGCATGACTGCATGGAGCGCGGTTATCTTCCCGTCAGAATGGTACCTATTGATCTACTCACATTTGCATGTTTTTGAACTGCTAGGTTGGCAGAAGCAAGGGCTGACAGTGGGAGCTCACACCGCTTCCCAGATTCGAACCTGTGACCTTTCGGTCAACAAGTTCAGCAGCTCAGTGCTTTAACCCACTGTGCCACTGGGGGCTCCATGTCAGCAACTATATCTTTCAATTACTTTTATAGTCATAGATAAGGGTACTGCCTCACTAAACGAGGAAAGAAGATTATTACATATCTTGTGTTCTGTCTTGAACTATACTTCACACTGCTATCTTGGGCTTTGCTGAGGTTATTAAAATGGGAGTGGAAAGAGAGTATTTAGTACCACAGTATTCAGATGTTTTTAAAGTAATTATGTTTGAAAAACAAGGAAGTAAAGAATTGTTTTTAAATTCTGAGGCCATGGCATTAAGTAACTCCTTCAATGAATCTTGAAATTATAAAAGTAACTCTTCATTATTATTTTTTAAAAAGTAACTTACCAAGTTTCCATTTGCCCAGGATATGACTTACCAGGTGTACTGTCTACTCTTGAACCTTGAGTCCTGAATGACATGGTATGTGCTGGTACGTTTTTGTAGATAATTCTGTTAGACTTCTCTGGTGAGTAAGAGGCTAGGAAAGATCAAAAGCAATGGTTGTAGTGAGATTAAAGAGAAAATCTTTCATGAGCAAAGGTGAATTGTGAATACAACACAAAAGAGAACCTACCCCAAAAGGAAAAGACAGGTTTGTGTATATGGGAAGGTAGGAGAAAAGGGCTTTAAATCTATTAGGCATGCATTTCTCCAAGGCTGCGTTTTGGAGCAGAGTGCTCAACCCTCCAGGCTTCCTGGAGTGAGTCGCTTATCCTGGAAGTCACCAGGATTGATCATTCTCCTTGTAAACAGGCAGCAGACAGTGCCCTCACTCTGCTTAATATGAAAACATAACTGTTCTCCAAAACTGTGTCTAGTTATAGCATTGTTTTTTGTTGTTTTTGTTTTTTTGCATTTCTGACAATCTGTGAAGCTTTGGAGGATCCCACAGACAAAAAATTATCTGTATCAACTGGAGTTTCCTGCCCTTTCCTAGATACATGTGACCGCAAAAAGAATCCATTCTGTATAGAAGGGATTTTTTTTTTTTTGCTATAGACAGTGATTGATCGTTTTGAACACTATTCAGTGTTTTTGGGAGAACATTCCCTGTATTTTTTAAATCAGTGCTTGACTCCTTCCAACAACAATAAACAAACAAACAAACAAAACACAGAAGCTGGAATAACTTGTTGTAAATGACTTGCCAATTGCAACTACTTCGGTTTTCTAGACACATGGCAACAGAGACAAGATTTCCAGCCACTTTTCACAAACATCTATTTGCATTTTAAAGAAATCATTAATGTTGATTCAAAACAATCTTGCAAAGTGAAATCACAGAAAGTCACCAGCCTGGTCATTAAGTAACCAGTGTGGTTTTTCTTGATGTATGCTTGTATAGAATCCTTCAAAACTACATTCAGATGTTCTGTCTGTGTTGTATGAACAGAACCACATCATGCACATAAACTTTGTACAGAAGAATGCACCTTACCGGGACCTGGGGTTATCTCCACTCTCACCCTGGGTCGACTACTCATTGAATAAGCTGGAGCCGATTTTCTCCCTCTATTTGTCATAGAGCCCTGCACAGGATAGGGACCTGGCGAGCAGTCTTTTCTGAGGGAAGGCCTTGAGCCATGCATACTGTAGGCTGGGGCTTTCCTTTTGGTCGGTATGTGTGATACATGACCTAGAAGAAAACAACACAGATATATATCATGCAAATCGTTTTGGTATAAAAATATATCATACAATTTCAGATCACTGATCAGTTTAATTTCAGCATCTTTTGTGGCTGGCCTCAGTGCTCCGAATCTCAGTGCAAAAGATTTCCGAAGCTCCTTTCAGATGAAAAACTGAGGAGATGGGGTGTCCTATGTCCAAGGTGCTTTCTTGATTGAATTATAGAAACTTAGGCCCCTTCCATACAGCTTTCATCCCACATTATCTGCTTTGAACTAGGTTATATGGCGGTGTGGACTCAGATAACTCAGTTCAAAGCAGATAATGTGGATTATCTGCCTTGATATTCTGGGTTATATGGCTGTGTGGAAGGGCCCTTAGAATTGGAAGGGGCCACAAGGGCCATCGAATCCAACCCTTTGCCATGCATGAATATGCACCAAACTCCTCTTAAAGACTTCCATGCAACTTCCCCCAAACATGTGAAAAGTGTGCCTGAATAAAAATATTTTTATTGGCAGAAAAATTATGGAAGTGACATCTGGCTTCTCTTGGGAGGATGTTCCACAGCCTGGGAACAACCAATGAAAAGGTCCTCCTTTGTGTATCTGAACAAGCAAACACAAGCAGAAGTAGCTGTGCACAATGAGAATTAGCAATACAATGGCACCAAATATAAGAGTGGAAATCACGGAAATCAGTCAGCGATTTTTTGATGAACAACTCTCATTGAAATGAGTGGGAGCTGCATAAGATCTTTTCCACTTATCTCAATTGAACGTATGCAGGAAGTTAACTCAGAAGGTTGTTTCTGACATGGATGTATTTCATTTGAATTTGTATTTTAAAGGAAGACTGGATTAATTTCTAAAACCACAATATTACCTTTTTTCTTTGTTTTATTTTGTTTACCTGTTGCTCCTTGTATGTAGTATTTCGGCCCAGGGCTTGTGAATTGGGCCAGGATTGGGCCTCTTGGACGATGAGGCCTCCAAGTTCCCACCCATTTTTCATTACTCATGATGGCAGCTTATATTCCAATGCCTGAGAAATGAAGAAGAGATTCTTCAACAAGCAAATAGCACATATTCTTCTAAGTAATTCATTAAACATGCTAGATCATGCTATATAACAAAAATATCATGGATAATGCATGAGAGAAGAATCCCATGTCTGGCTCTTAATGTAAGAGGGATTCTGATCAAGTATGAATGACTCTCCAGAGATTGTTGGGCCACAGTTCTCCATATACTCCACAACTGGTCGTCAATGCTGGCTAGGGTTGCAGGAAACTACAGGCCAATTGATGGCCACTGCATTCTGGAGTTCTTTGCTGATGTTATGCATCCTTGATATTACTTCAATTTATGGTGACCCTCATAAATTTTTCTTGGACAGATTTTTTCAAAGTAGGAATGCCACATCCTTCTCCTAAGACTGAGAAGGTATGACTTGTTGAAGGCCATCCAATAGATTTCTACTGCCAAGTGAGGATATGAATCCTGGTCTCTTGGGGCTTTCTAGACAGTGCTTTATCCCAGGAGCATCTGTGTTTAAAAAACATGGATGTTCCTGGAGCCCTGTCCACACACACCCCAGAAAGCATGTGGGAAAACACCTGGAGATTCTACCCCTCTCCCCAAAAGCCCTAAAACACCCTTTTAAAAATAAAATTACTTACCCAGCCTCCATTGGACAGCTGTGGCAAAGAGGGAGGGGAGGAGCAATTTTCCTCCCCCCTCCCTTCCAATGGAGGCTGGGCAAGTATTATTTTTAAAAGGGGGGTTGGGGCTTTTGGGGAGGGAGTTGGGATTCCCACAGTTTTCTGTCCTAATTTAGCCCAGAAAACTGTGGGAATGGTGTCTGGACTGCAGTCCAGACACCAGAAGTAGTGGGTTTATCCCACGCCTTCCAAGAAGTCATGGAATAAACCCTATATCAAATTAATTTGTCACAAATAAATTTGCCACAAACCAGGGACGTTGAGGTCTCCTAGTTCCCACCCATTTTTCATTACTCGTGATGGGAGCTTATATTCCAATGCTTGAGAAATGGAGAAGAGATTCTTCAACATTCACCCTGGTTTGTGGCAAATTAATTCGGGATTGTCCAGAGTGTTGTCTGGATAGCCCCATTTTTATTGTAGGAGTTTCCACAATAAAGGGGCTGTCTAGATCCGCCCTTAGAGCTTTACTCTAACAGTCAAACCATAACACCATGATGGTTCTCTTTAAGGTTGTATTCCCACTAAAATGTAACTGGTCCAAACTTCCATGCTCTGGTCCAAACTTTTTCGTTTTCAAAATAATTCCAGATTTTTGAAAAACATCCCAAAGGAAATCTGCTATGGAGGGGAAATATTGTATTTCCACAGTGCTTTTTGATTAGTATAATTAAATAATTAGGCAGTTAAAAGTGCAAAGGACTGTAGATGAAGTGAATTTGTGCATTATATTGAAAAAAAATCACCAGAAGAGTGCAAAGCTCCCTCTGGAGAGCTAAATGGACTTCTTAGAGTTTTCTCCTGTCAGGCATGCAGGTAATGGAAAATAAGAGAAGGGAAGGTGATGGTGGTGAGTAATGGAGTTAAATGGAGTTAAATTTAGGTTTATAATCACTGTAATGGGGGAAAGACTTCACAGATCCCCAGGAAGTATCTGAGGGAGCCTTCAATCTCTGTTGACTGAAATAGGTTGAGTAAACAAATTAGTCATCAGCAATCCTGTGAATTGAATACAGGAAACTTATGGTCCTCAAGATGTTGCCAAACTCTTACTTCTATGATGCCCGCCACAGACTGACAACAACTGAAAAACCCTTGGTCACATTTAGAGGTCTACTCAAATTCAATTGAATTGGAACTGTAGATCCTGACACTAACTGCAATGTGTAGTTTGTTTTTCTGTTTGTACAAATAAAGTATCATTTGCAAAACAGTGAGATTTTGATTTGAGCAAAAATTAGGCTGCACGGACCTTGACACTTATTTCCAAAATAAATAGCCTTCTTTTTTTTCATTTATTTATTTATTTATTTATTTATTTATTTATTTTACCTTACTTATATACCGCTGTTCTCAGCCCGAAGGCGACTCACAGCGGTTCACAACAAATACGAACAGCAAAAATTCAGTGCTACAATATAGAAACAGTTAACAACCTAACACATTACACAATTAATAAACAGTTACTACAATACCCATTCACTGTCGTCTCATCATCAAAAACATGTTCCAGATTCGTCATCCATTGTTCCATTCCAGTGTTCATTAACCAATCATTGCACTCATTATTCGAACGCCTGCTCAAACAGCCAGGTCTTCACTTTTTTGCGGAATACCATTAGAGATGGTGCTAGTCTAATGTCCGTAGGAAGGGCGTTCCACAGCCGAGGAGCCACCACCGAGAAGGCCCTATCTCTCGTCCCCGCCAGCCGAGCTTGAGAAGCAGGCGGGATCGAGAGCAGGGTCTCCCCGGAAGATCTCAAAGTCCTGGTGGGTTCATAGGCAGAGATGCGGTCAGATAGGTAGCTTGGGCCGGAACCGTTTATGGCTTTATAGGCCAACGCCAGCACTTTGAATTGAGCCCGGTAGCAAATTAGCCATGGAGTTGGCGCAACAGGGGGGTTGTATGCTCCCTGCGCTCTGCTCCTGTTATAATCATGGCTGCCGAGCGTTGGACTAGTTGGAGCTTCCGAGCTGTCTTCAAAGGCAACCCCACGTAGAGAGCGTTGCAGTAGTCTAAACGGGATGTAACCAGAGCGTGGACTACCGTGGCCAAGTCAGACTTCCCAAGGTATGGGCGCAGCTGGCGCACAAGCTTTAACTGTGCAAATGCTCCACTGGTCACCGCCGAAACCTGGGGTTTCAGGGTCACACCCAAGCTGCGAACTCACCGCCGAAACCTGGGGTCCCAGGCTCAGCGATGAGTCCAGGATCACACCCAAACTGCGAACCTGCGTCTTCAGGGGGAGTGCGACCCCATCCAACACAGGCTGTAACCCTATACCCTGTTTGGCCTTGCGACTGACCAGGAGTACCTCTGTCTTGTCTGGATTCAATTTCAATTTGTTCGCCATCATCCAGACCATTACAGCAGCCAAGCACCGGTTCAGGACCTGAACAGCCTCCTTAGTATCAGGTGGAAAGGAGTGACAGAGTTGGACATCATCCGTGTACAGATGACACCGTACCCCGAAACTTCGGATGATCTCCTCCAGCGGCTTCATGTAGATGTTAAACAATGTCTTTTTTTTTTTGTAGTAGACGACACTGGTGAGATTTTTGTTTGTTTGTTTGTTTGTTTTAAAAAACCCTCATATTTTGTGATCTGACATGGAAGGGAAAGCAGAGATATTTTCCGTGCTCTCTTTGATTAGATTAGGGTATAAAGCTTAAAATTAGAATTAAGAGGCTAACTCACAGTTATTAAAATAACAGTGCCACTTTTGATCCTTCCAGAAGTGAGCAATGATATCAAGCAGAAATTGTATTTTCCTTCTGCTTGAAGGAGGTACATTCCTTAAAGTAAATGCTAGGCACTGAGAAAGCAGGGTGGGAGGACTTGATCGTGCAGTGTTACGAAATTGTTCAGGAGGACATTCACTGACCTGGCATTTGTGTGCAATATTAAGAACTACACCAAGACTTCTTACCTGTAGCTTTTTTCAGTTTTCGTCTTCTTTTTCTACCACTAACCTGTTGGTAGGATTGTTTTTAATGACTGAGAGGTAATACACCTTATTCTGTCTTTGTCAATTCACTCTATGTAAACAACTTTGTTGTCTGACAACGCCTTCTTCGACTCTCTTCAACAGGGCTGCTGAAGATTAGAGAAGAAGATGAAATGAAAGTGAAGCAGAATCTAGCTCTATTTGCACCAATGGGGTTGAGAAGAATCTTCATGGAATTGTCATGGAAACAAACAATTGCCCACTATAGTCCTTCCTGATGTTCTAGAACACAAAGTCTGATTAGGAAGCCCTGAGCTCCATGTCAGGAGGTGGAGTCAGATTCATACTGATGGGAGCTCTGTAACTGAGTTTCCCAAGGTTTTTTGCTTTTGTTAAAAGTAGCCACATAATAGATTTGAAATGGTAACACAACATTGGAGAAAGGTTATAATCTTCCACCTTCATGTCCATCATCCTAAGCAAAATGCTCCTAATGCTGTCTGTCCCCTTAGAAGAGAGGAAACCACAGTCAACAGAATCACCAAGAACCAATGAAATATTTAGAAATAGTTCACACCTACACAAGCAATCAATGTGAACGTACAATCCACAAAGAGTCATACAGACTTCTTAATCTAAGGTCATTTTAGATAATCTAAATTAATTATATGGGTATGTTTCAAAAGTGATTAACTAATTCCTTGTGAAAAACATATTTCCAGAAAAATTAAAAATTGGTTCATGTAGATGACTATCCAGAAGCCTGCACTGATAGTTTTGTGCATTTGTGAAACCTGAGTTGGGGTTGCAGCTTCAAGGTCTCAGTTGATGTTCCAAGATGAACACAATTGTTCGCCTTGGGGTCACCATAAATCTGAAATGACATGAAGTGCTTGCATGTAGCGTGGTCCTATTGTACATAGAGAGGGGGAGAAAGAGAGGGGTGTAGCCAGATCAAAATACAGAAATGGGAGAGGAGGGATATGAATTCTGTATGTGTGCCTTCAACTCCCCTATTGACTTATGGCAAGCTCATACATTTCAAAGGACTTTCTTAAGCTAGGTATATTCCTGGGTGGTTTTCCTAGTTCCTTATATTTGTTGTTTTTCCCATCCAAGTACTACACAGGGTTGATCATGCTAAGTTTCCCAGGTCAGATATAATGCACTGTATAGCACAGACTTTCTCAACCTAGGGGTCAAGACCCCTGGAGGGGTCGCAAGGGGGGTTTCAGAAGGATCACCAAAGACCATCAGAAAACATATTTCTGATGGTCTTAGGAACCCATTTGGCAGAGAAGGTTGAAGATCAACCCACCTTCTCTTCAATTTTGGTGTTGGTGAAGTACA